GCAGCTAGGTGGGGTGCGGTGCAGTGCGATACTGTGCGGTGCAGTGCGGTACTGTGCGGTGCAGTGCGGTGCAGTGCGGTGCAGTGCGGTGCAGTGCGGTGCAGTGCGGTACAGTGCGGTGCAGTGCGGTGCAGTGCGGCACGGAGCAGGGCGGGGTGGGGGGGGGGGGGGGGGAGGGGGGGGGGGGGGACCGTACCAGTGAGGAGGACGGGGCCGGGGCTGGCCCGACGGGGCCGGGCGGGCGCGACGGGGCCGGGCTGATGCGACAGGGCCGGGACGGGGCGACGGGGCCGAGCGGGCGCGACGGGGCCGGGCTGGGGCGACGGGGCCGGGCGAGTGCGGCAGGGCCGGGCCGGTGCAACGGGGCCGGGCGAGCGGGACGGCGGCCGGGCTGGTGCGACGGGGCCGGGCGGCTGTGACGGGGCCGGGCAGGGTGCGACGGGGCCGGGCGGCTGCGACGGGGCCGGGCGGCTGCGACGGGGCCGGGCGAGCGCGACGGGCCGGGCAGGGTGCGACGGCGCCGGGCGGGCGCGACGGGGCCGGGCGGCGGCGACGGCGCCGGGCGGGCGCGACGGGGCCGGGCGGCGGCGACGGGGTCGGGCGGGCGCGACGGCGCCGGGCGGGCACGACGGGGCCGGGCGGCGGCGACGGGTACGACGCGGCCGAGGAGGGGCGCTACGGGGCCCAGGAGGGGCACGACGGGGGGCCCAGGAGAGGCGCTACGAAGCCCAGGAGGGGCGCGACGAGGCCCAGGAGGGGCGCTACGGGGCCTGGAAGGGGCGCGACGGGGCCTGGGAGGGGCGCGACGGGGCCCAGGAGGGGCGCTACAGGGCCCAAGGAGGGCGCGACGGGGCCCAGGAGGGGCGCTACGGGGCCCAGGAGGGGCGCGACGGGGCCCAGGAGGGGCGTTACGGAGCCCAGGAGGGGCGCGAAAGAGCCCAGGAGGGGCGCTACGAGGCCTGGGAGGAGCGCGACGGGGCCCAGGAGGGGCGCTAGGGGGCCAGGGAGGAGCGCGACGGGGCCTGGGAGGGGCGCGACGGGGCCTGGGAGGGCGTTACAGGGCCCAGGAGGGGCGCTACGAAGCCCAGGAGGGGCGCGACGAGGCCCAGGAGGGGCGCTACGGGGCCCAGGAGGGGCGCGACGGGGCGCTACGGGGCCTGGGAGGAGCGCGACGGGGTCCAGGAGGGGCGCTAGAGGGACTGGGAGGGGCGCGACGGGGCCTGGGAGGGGCGCGACGGGGCCTGGGAGGGCGGTACAGGGCCCAGGAGGGGCGCTACGAAGCCCAGGAGGGGCGCGACGAGGCCCAGGAGGGGCGCTACGGGGCCCAGGAGGGGCGCGACGGGGCGCTACGGGACCTGGGAGGAGCGCGACGGGGCCCAGGAGGGGCGCTAGTGGGCCTGGGAGGAGCGCGACGGGGCCTGGGAGGGGCGCGACGGGGCCTGGCAGGGGCGCTACGAAGCCCAGGAGGGGCGCTACGGGGCCTGGGAGGAGCGCGACGGGGCCCAGGAGGGGCGCTAGGGGGCATGAGCGGAAGCGGTAGGTGGGGGGGGGGGGATCCTACCTACGCGTGATACCATCCCTAGCATGGCGTGGGATGCAGCATGGGGTGGGATGCAGCATGGGGTGGGATGCAGTATGAGGTGAGGAAAGTATGGGGTGGGGTGCAACATGGGGTGGGATGTAGCATGAGGTGCGATGTAGCACGGGGTGGGATGGAGCAGGGTTGGGATGCAGCAGGGGTGGGATGCAGCAGGGGGTGAGCTTAGACAGGGGGGAAGTCTTGCTCTTGTGTGGGGGTGGAGTTGGGCCCAGACAGGGGGGAAGATGAGCGCTGGTTGGGAGGGGGAGGTGAGCTTGGTCGGGGGGGAAGGTGAGCTCAGAAAGGATGGAAGGAGAGGAGGAGACAGCGAGAAGAGGAAGGGGGGATGTAGGACAAGGAGAGTGAGGGGCAGCGAGCAAAAGAGAGGGGGGAACCGTAGTGCAAAGAGGGGAACTAGGTGTGGCATGAGAGGAGGAGATATGCGCACCTGAAATCGGGGGGGAGTAGCGCGAGTGGTGCGGGAAAACCGTAGTAAGGAGCACGGCTAAGGGTTTAGCGGTGGCGCTAGTTTCGTAGCTAGGCACATTTGGCCCTTAGCTAGGTGCGAGCTAATAGCGAAGGCTCTGTCGAGAATGGGGGTGAGGGAGGGGGGAGGTAGCGAAAGTTCTGGGTTAGAGAGGTCGCGAGTGTAATAAATAGGGTTATGAGCTATGGCACGGATCACGAGCAGCTCCCCGCTTGGTGCACGCGGCGGGGGGTAGTCGTTAGAATGGGCAAGAGAGGGGGGAGGAAGGCTGATACTAGGGTGGCGTGAGTGACGCTCGTGTAGCTGTGCTATTACACGTGTCACGTGCTTTCCTGCAAGCGCTCACTCTGTTTGTGTCGTGGGTTGGGCTGGGTGGAGATGGTTTTGGGGCTGGAGGGCCCATTCACTCGATCTCCCTGTCTCCTTATCCCCAAGTTTTTCTCGCCTCGCTCCTTTGCGTGCCTGGTTTTGTTTGTTCCTCATTTCATATTGAATACGAACTCACTCATCATACTCTGCATACATGTGTGTTTGTGAACAACTCTTAGGCGTGGTAGAATCCGGGCATCGCCAGCCGTCCACGCTTGCAACATCGCCAGCGTTAGTGAGATCGTGTCTTTTGTTGCGAGCACCCTTGCCTTCGCATGGGCCAAGCTTGGTTTTTTTTACGAGGGTGGCTATTTTCGCCATCCCTCTTCAAGGTTCAAAAGCCTTTCAACATTGAAGTTATTGTATAATTTCGCTTTAAGGCGTAATAGTTGTGTACTCCAAAACATGTGGACCACCATAAACACGACAAAACACCAACTCTAAATCCCGGCCACCAAAAACACGTGGTTTTTTCCAACAAAATGTTATTCTGTTGTGTGATTCTCGCATTTATATGCTCATACTCTTGTGAATTCTTAACTCATTTCGTCCAAACGTAAATCAAGTGAAGTTAAGACCGTTAAAATACTTGATAAAAATATAATTTACTCATTGCAAGAAGCCACACATCTTATGTATGGCATCCATCATAGAATGCATTTGTAAGCAAACTATAATGGCTGGAAAGGAAAGGAGCTATTGTAGTACTTGTAACACCGCTGACTAACGGACATGCCAGTCAACACAAAGGTCCAGATTCGAGGACTCTCTGACTCGAGTCGTCAACTATGACCCATTTCTGCGGGTTATTTGAACACCTTCACCTCTCTTCACCACGTCCCGCCATTGAAGTCCAGTGGCCTCGCAATGTTGAGTTATGCGCTGATTGGCCCGACCTAGCTTCTACAGTTCGTGTCGGCGCTAAAGCGGACGAAGAGACGCTGACAAAGCAAAACAATATCGACGATTCTCATACGTCACCGATGTGGGCACGTGATGGCAGCTGTATCGGGCCTGAACACAAAAGGGTTTTGCGGGTAGAGGGGCTAAATTTCTTCAGATTGTTTTGCCCCAGCACGCTACACTGAAACCCGATAGCTGATCACATCCTGCTCCTGTGGGAGGGTCTCACAATCATAACGGATACCTGCATGGAGACCTGGTGGCGGGTTGTTCCCCCTGAAATGCCTGTCGGTCCCCCTTTTTGGAGGGGATGTGTTTGAAGGGGGAACAAGTGAGGTCTTTCTTATAGCTGGGGCATTTAGGACATATCACCTAAAGTCCTCCACTTCTGCCAGAAAGACTACCAGATTACTGGACATGGACATGGACAGCGCCGACACTGGAACAGTGAACAAGGTAATTTTGTTCTCGTGTAGGAAATTTCTACTGCATTTCTACTTGCATGGCGTCATCCCCCAAAGATCTGCCAAATGCCGAACCAGACTCCATGTTTACAGCAGCCTCGGCTTCAACAACTCCCCTTCTCGCCATGTTGGTCTTCTTGCGAGGCTCGCGGAGGTTGCATAAACGGGGTTACCACCGTGCTCGAAGTTGAAGCCGAAGTATGACGATTTTTTTGTACCCAATCAGGGGCTTGTTCTGCTGGTCAGCGTAGACCCTTTCCTGGGCATTGCGTTTGTTCCCGAATCGCCAAGGCATTCTGCGCAGGCATATTTTTCCGTTGGGGAAATTATGCGCCAGGGTACATTACCCCTTACAGGTCGTCCCCCGCGTCCCCCTACAGCGCATTCTGCCTCACTCCCGCTTTCACTCTGTCACTCTTGCGCAATTGCCGCAATCCTTCCTCAGTTACAGTATTGCCAATCTGTGGCAGCTGCATGCAGATAAGGGAAGTTCTGGGGTCTGGGCTGCGCGGACAATATCACGGGGGTTACCACTCATTTACGCTAGGAATGATGGATCTATGCGGCGTACTTAGAGCTCGGTGCTAGCCCCGATGAGAACTTCCGGGCATCAATTACACGGACACGATGAATCAAAGTTCGGGCGATCTCCCCCGTATAACTGAGTCTGGAAATTCTTCCTCGGGGCTGGCCCCGAGCGCAGAGCGGGCCCTTACATTCCAGGCCTGTCCTCTCCCTACCTACAAGCGAAAAAAAAAAGGCATTATGTAACCCTTTTCCCATAAAGAAAACGTTTTCTATTGCCCGGCTATATCCAGGGCTCTTCCGCAAGTCCCCCAGAAAGCCATTCGCATAGTCCCCCCTCCCCCCCTCCACCTCCCCCACGGTTCCCCCTCGTCAATATCTCCTCCTCTCCTCCACTCTCAGCCGTATGTGCTGGCTGCAAGAATCGCTGCTCTCAATCTCCCATGTCTGTCGCCATCCGCTTTGCCAGGCTGCCAAGCCAGCCACGTCGCCAGCATCCAAAAGCCCCAGACACTGTACAGCGAGAGCTACAGCACGAACAGCGGCACAGAAACAAGGGAGATCAGTCAGGCAGGACTCAGGTCAGGTCGGGAGAGGAACAGAAGGGAGATCAGATCAGAAGGGGGGAGAGAAGAAGGTGTTGGTGAAGCTGGTGGTGAGTGAGGGAGGGCGTAGTCTGGTCAGCAGCTGGAGCAGTAAGGGAGGCCGTAAGGAGGACAGTGCGTTGCAAGGAAAGAAAGGACATCAAGAACAAAGCGTCTCGTCCCAGTTGCGCCTCTCATGGCCCAGATAGGCACCGAAGCAAGCGCGAGCCGCGCGATAGGCCGAGACTGGGCCGAGCCAAGTCATCCGCGCGATGGGCGCGGGGGAGACTCGAGTCTCCTCCACCCCCCCCCCCCCCCGCTCTGTCCCCGCGCCGCGGGCCACGCCAATTTGGGCGAGTAGGTTTTTTGGCTGTTGTGGATTCACGTCAGCCTACACAATGCATTCTCATTCTCAGTCCCCGTCCGTCACGCGTCGTATATATTCGGATGTCTCCCCGACATTCTATCTCGAACACCATTTCTCGCACTCTCTTATCGAAAAGCGCTTAGTACAACCGAAGTTAGTAACTTGCAAAGCTGTAACGGGCACAAGTCGGACCAAGTAGTGGCACGCATTGTAGTGCACCTAATTAATCGACGCGCCTCGGAAACCAATCAACGTTGACGATCTCCAGCGAGTTATTACCTCGTCGGCTGCTGAATTACTGCCCGGCGCACGCGGTGGTGAGGTTAGGGTTCGTATTACTACCACGTTACGCTAAGTTAGTACTAGTACTAACTTCCCGAGCCACGGCGCCGCCTCTCGTGAATGGATCCCACGCTCCCGTCGCCGCCAATGAGCATTCTCCACGCGCTCGCCACGTCAGCAGCGCCGGTGATCGAGGACCCCCGCGCGCCGCTCTCGGAGCGCCTCCGCGCGCTCATCATCAAGGCGGAGGCTGCGGGAGCCACCACCGGTCTTGCGCCGCCGCCGCCGCCGCAAATTGCGCTGCCGGTCGAGGCGCCCAGCGACGCCGGTTCCCACGGAAGATTCTTCCCGAAATCCACGTCAGAACCCGGTGTTTCTGGCGCAGTTCCCGGCGCGATCTCCGCCGGCTGGGGCTTCCGGGGTGACAATGTCGGGTGTGACACTACAGGGCGGCTTACAGCGGGGCTCGAGAGTCTTTTCAAATCATACCCCTCGTTTCCCGGAGCTGTTAATGAATCATCCCCGTCCGTCCGCGTTTACCGCCAAAACGCGCCGATCAACGGCTGCGGGAGCAGCAGCGCCAACCCCCCTCATTCCCCCCGCGGCTTATCCGATTCCCCGCGCTCCCCGCGTTCCCCGCACTCCCCGCACTCCCCCGCGCGGCATCACCGCAGCTTCGCGTCGCGCCTCGCCGCTCGCGGCCCGTCCTCCGCGTCGCAGAAGGTTCCGCCGCCGTCCGTGGCGCACCTGATCCCGGAGCGCCCATCGCCCCAACTTGTCTCCGATTCGTCTGCGAATCAGCAGCCCCTACCGCCCTCTTACCCGCAGCAGCAGCAGCAGCAGCAGCAGCAGCAACTCATTGGAAAATATCAGGGAGTTCCGAGGCGTGTCGCCTCCCCTTTCGCCCTATTCGACGCGGGAATCAGCCCGGCCGCCCTCCTCGAGTCGCCTATCATGGCAGGCCACCCAGCCCCAACCCTGGGTTCGGCAGCAGGCTCGGCAGGCAGCTCAGCCTCGGCACAAGCCGGACCTGCTGTGGCCGGATCACCCCTTAGTAGCTTAGTACCTCCGCCACTCTCCCTCCCGGCCTCAGGTGTCTCTGCTGCCATCGATTCCTCAGATATCAGTTCCCCTCCCCCCGCTGTGGCTCACGGGTTCTCAAAGGTGCTTGCACTGAAACCAGCGCCCGTTACTGTGCCAGGTTCGGACGCCTCCGAGCCTGTTGGTTTGGAATTGTCCGAGCCTGGGATGGAGGGTGAGGAGGAGACCCCAACTTCTGGTGTGGAGAACCCGGCAGTGCTGGGGTTTGATGCGCCTGGAGGGAACGGTGACGTGGCAGACGACCTGAATGACCTGTTTGACTTCTTTGACTCGCTGGTGGGCGGCGCGAGTGGGAGCGAGGGTGAGCAGAAGAAGCCTGCCGGGAAGCTTCTCGGAAGGAACAGCAGCTGCTGCAGCGACCAGAGCGGCTCTGGCTTGAACGCTTCGGACAAGAAGGAAATTTCTGAGAGCAGGTTTCGGGCAGGGAGGAAATTCGGGAGCATGGAGGGCCTGGAGGCGGACGCCAACACGGAATTTATTTTGGTGCCTGCCCAAGACGGGTATAACTGGCGAAAGTACGGGCAGAAAATGGTGAAAGGCTGCCAGCACCCCCGGCTTTATTTCCGCTGCACGTATCCGGGCTGCCCGGTAAGAAAAACGGAGGAGCAGGCAGACAGTGGCGAGGTGCTAGAAAGGATCTACCGGGGGTTGCACAACCACCCACCTCCCGGGCTGCCCGAGAAAGAAACTCAGGAGCAAGAGTGGGAGACCAGGCGTGAGCAGCAGCAGCAGCCAAGTGAAGCTGACATGGATGCAACAACGGGCGACAGTGACAGGAATGCTGCTGCTGCTGCTGCTGCTGCTGCTTCTCCCGAGCTTCCCCTGCTTTCTTCCTTCACCTCACTCCCTCTGCTTCAAGCCGACTCCACAACCAGAAGGCAGGGTAACCCTGCTGGTTACCAGGCTGGTAGCCCTGTTACCGACCACCAGGGGACACAGGAGAGGCTCTGGGGGAAGAGGCTGTTTCTTCATCACAGCCGTTTATCTGCCCCTGCCAACCTGCAGATCTCAGCCGTTGATCTGCTTACTGACCCTGATAGTGAGGGCCCTGCAGGGAGCAGTGGGGGGTCGAGTGCGAGTGGGGAGAGGAAGAGGAAGGAGAGAGCAGGGTTGGGGGGCTCTATTGGAGATGTGTCAGCCGACGGCACGGAGGATGATGTGACCAGCGGAGCTGCTTATAACGAGGCGGCTGGAGCCGCGGATAAGAAGCCGAGGCGAAGCGCCGAAGTGCTTGTATGTGCACAGCAGGTGATAGACGAACCAAAACTCGTGGTCGAGATGCGTAGCGAGATGGAGGTGCTAGACGACGGGTACAGGTGGCGCAAGTATGGGCAGAAGGTGGTGCGCGGTAACCCTAATCCGCGGAGTTACTACAAGTGCACACATGCCGGGTGCCGTGTGCGCAAGCAGGTGGAACGAGCAGTCCATGATCCGTTCATCGTGGTTACCAGTTACGAAGGCCGCCATACCCATGCCATGCCGGGCCCTGTGTTCTCCCCCGCTCCTCCTGCTGGGAGCGGGGACGGGGAGAGGGAGGGTAGTGCTGCTGCTGCTGCTGCCTCCAGCCCTGCTCTTCCTCCGATGTCTGCTCTTCGGCTGCCCGGCGAAGCGGTGGCAGTGAACGGGGTGGGGCACTGGGTGCTGCACTAATGGGTGGAGTGATTACAACTGCATGCTTGCGTGCATGCTGGGTGCTGCTCGCCCTGTGCTGTCTACTCTTAGGCTGCCTGGCGAAGCTGTGGCAGTGAACGGGGTGGGGCACTGGGTGCTGCACTAATGCACAGCGCTGCTGCTGCTGCTGCTATTGCTCTTTCCCCCTCCCCCCCCTCTCTGGCGTTCTGTGGCTTCCTTCCTCCCTCCCTCTCCTCCCCCTCAACTTAGAATCACATCCCTGCCGAGCGTTTCAAAGTTGGCCTGCCAAGCCCACTACCCTCAACTGCGGACGCTCCCGCAAATCCTCCGTCCTTCAGTTTCCCCTCCTCTATTCTCTCCCGTCCCCCTCGCATTACTATTTTTGAGGCGCCTAAAAAATCCTTCAGTTTCCCCTCCTCTATTCTCTCCCCTCCCCCTCGCATTACCACCCTCAACGGTCACAATCACATCCTTGTGGATCCCTTCAAAGACGGCCTGCCATGCCCACTACCCTCGACAACCCAACTCATCCTCCCTCCTTCCTCTCGTCCTCCTTATAAGTCACCTCATTAGAGGCCTAGAGTGACTACAGCCACATCCTTGCGGATCGCCTCAAAGACGGCCTGCCATGCCCACTACCCTCGACTTGAAGCATGCGTGCATCTTGGGTAGTCGCTGTGGGAGATTGCCTTTGAAGGATCCGCGATGTGATGTGATTACCTACATTGGCTAGTATAGTAGTTGATCCACCTTGTGTATTATATTTTATGTTCAAGCTTTTATATTTTCCTGTTTTATGTATTGCCACGCGGCCACGCCCTCTATCGTTCCCGATATGAAGGGAAACCGCATCCATGGACAAAGAAAATGAACGTGTATATGTATTATAATGAATGAGCTTACTTTCATTATTATATTTATTATTTCTCTAGAAGCAATATCTGGTAGCCTGCCAGTGATTTGATAATCAAGAAAAAACATCGGTGTGTGGGAAGGAATGGGGGATAAATCCCTACTCGGGTATATGCAAATTTGTTAGAGGTGTCCAAGTCCTGTTACAGGGAGGATAAGGGAGGAGGAGCAGGTGCGTGGGGAGGATGGTTGGTGGAAAGGGTGGAAGAAAGGGTGGGGGAGAAGGGTTGAAGGGCGGAAGAGAGGGGAGGAATGGCTGCTGATGGGAGGGGTGGAAGGACACCACCAGGTGGGAGAGGAGGGAGGGCAGTGGGGGGAAGGGATTGTTGGGGGAGGGGAGGAAGGGGCAAAAGGGCGGATGGGACGGAGGGGAGAGGAGGCCGGGTGGAAGGGAGGGGAGGGAGGGAAGGCCGGGTGGATGGGAAGGGAGGGAAGGGGGGAAGGGTGGGAAGGGCGGACGGGAGGGGAGGGGCCGCAGGAGGTTTGGAGGGCATTGCAGCAGGAGGGGAGGGTCTGGGGGGAATAGCTGCAGGAGGGGAGGGTCTGGGGGGAATAGCTGCAGGAGGGGAGGGTCTGGGGGGAATAGCTGCAGGAGGGGAGGGTCTGGGGGGAATAGCTGCAGGAGGGGAGGGTCTGGGGGGAATTGCTGCAGGAGGGGAGGGTCTGGGGGGAATTGCAGGAGGGGAGGGTCTGGGGGGAGGTGTGGGAGATGGCAGGGCGGGGAGCGGAGCCAATGAGAGAGGCGGAGCAGCAGGCAGGGGCGGGAAGGGGGCAGGGCGGGGAGGAATGGCGGAAGAGAGAGGGGGGAGGGCGGAAGGGCGAGGGGGTTGGGGAGGGATTGCAACAGGGGGTATGGGAGGAAGAGCGTAAGATGGAGGGGGAGGAAGGGGAGGCGGTGAGAGAGGCGGAGCAGCAGGCAGAGGCGGGAAGGGGGCAGGGCGGGGAGGAAGGGCGGAAGGGAGAGGAGGGAGGGCGGAAGGGCGAGGAGGGAGGGCGGAAGGGCGAGGAGGGAGGGCGGAAGGGCGAGGAGGGAGGGCGGAAGGGAGTGGAGGGAGGGCGGAAGGGAGTGGGGGGAAGGCGGAAGGGCGAGGAGGGAGGGCGGAAGGAAGCGGAGGAAGAGCGAAAGGGAGTGGAGGAAGGGCGGAGGGGAGAGGAGGGAGGGCGGGAATGAGAAAGCAGGGCGGCGGGGGAGGGGCTGGGGCAAAGAAGCGGGCAGCAAACGGCGGAAGGGGAGGGAGGGGCGGCGCACAGGGCAGCAGTGATAAGGATGGCGCGACTGCTAAGGCTTCTCCCAGCGCCTCTGCCTCCCCTTGCAAAGCGGCGGCAGCTGCGCCTGCTGCTGCCTCTACTGCTCCTGCTGCTGCGCTGACTGCAGGCCCTGCCGCCCTCGCTGCTCCCGCAACTGCTGCTTTCTCCGCCTCTCCTTTCGTCAGAACCCTTTTCTCCCCTGTCTTCCCCTTTTTCGCACCCTTCCCGCCCTCCCCTTTCCCGCCCTCCCCTTTCCCTCCGAGAGCAGCCAACCCCCCTGCAGCGTTGAACGTTGATGCTGGTGCTGGTGCTGGTGCTGGAGATGGCGTTTCACCAGTATTGCTGCCACTGCTGCTACTGGTCGATGGTCCTGCTGGTGCTCCGGAAGCCGTTTCTGATTGGACGTTGTTCTGTGTAACGTTACCAGATCCCGTTACCGTCGCCGTCTGACTGTTCACCTGAATCTGTGTCACCGTTGTTCCTCCGTCGCTGCTGCTGCCGCTGCTGCCACTGCCGCTGCTGCCACTGCCACTGCTGCCACCACCGGCATCACCACCAGCACGACTCAAGTCACCGTTCGATTGGCCAGTGCCCAATATTTGATTGGTCAAGTCGGCCGCAGAACCAGAGAGAGCGGTTTCCGAATCGGGGGCAATGGTAACCGGGTAACCGATTTTTCGGGACCTGCCCTTACTCACGGGCAGCTCAGTGAAGGAACGAAAAAACGCGAGTGGGGCAGGACCGGAAAATATTGGGACTGCCCCGTGGAAGGAAGAGGGGTCGTCGAGACGCGGAATAAGCACGGGACGGAGGGAGCGAGCTGTGGAGAGAGGAAGGGAAGAGAGGACTATGGCGAGAGAAATGGTGACGAATGAGTCGAGACGCGGAATGAGTACAGGACGGAGGGAGCGAGCGGATGTGAGAGGGAGGGAAGAAAAAATGATGGTATAGAAAACAGCGGAGGAAAATACTCGGAGTTTTGAGAACTCCATCGACTTGATAGCGAGAAAGTAGACTCGCTTAACGGGGGCAGAAAGATGACTTGAAGTCATCTTGCCAGGGATATATGTCCAGAAACCATTGAACGAAGTCCTTGGGAAAGAGCAAGCGACTAATCGCTATCGCTTACTCGCTTAATCGCTCGCCTTCACAACGTTCCCGAGAAGAAAAATGGGAGCTCGAGCTATGATCCTAGAGTTCTGTCCTTTTCAGCGCACTTTATGATACAAGGGAGAGGTGGAGCCAAGGCGGGAGGTGAAAGGCCGTGTTAGGGTGCGTCAGACGAGAAGGCTACATAGAGAGACACGACGGTGGATTTCGGTGCCATTTCCGAGGGAAGGAACAATCGCGGAAGGAAATCGTGGCTGTCTCCGGCGCCATTTCTGCCACGATTCCAGTTACTTTCAATTATTTTCGCCACCCGCTTCCTCGGAAGGAGCTGGAATCGTGACTGCGATCGATCGCACTTCCGAGGCTTGAATTTGGTCGTGTCCGACACCGTTTTCGAGGCGCATAGTATGACTGAGTCTGTTTCCCGTGCCGCTTCGTGCGCCTGTTGCTGAGTGGCTGAGATTACTCATCGGAACGGTCCTGTTCGTATCGCGGAGGCGATTGGGAACGGGAAGTTCACTACCGTTCTTCGCGACGGCGTTACTCCCCATGCTATGGTCTGAAATAGCTCATGCTATCGTCTCATATGGTCTGCTATATTGGGATGCCCCACGGCGCAAGCGCATAGTAGCTGCGGCGCACGTTTCCAGGCGGAGTTACGTTGATCGTCATGGTACTTCTAATCGAAAGGAAGTTCAAACGATATGCACTAGCACGTGGTCACACGAGCAGAAGGGACACCGGGCCGAACCGAGGAACGGCGGGGAGAAACGGGATTGAACGTCTTACTATCTTGGAGAGCAGCACAGAATAACTGGACGAGCTATGACGGTGCCAGCTTGCCTCTATTGACAATGAGGCGGGAACCTGTAATCCTGCCTCTATGGAGCATTCGGGAATGCCAGCTAGCTGTCCTCTGTTGGCAGTTGAGCTAAGGGGAAATGAAGGATTTGAGGGGGGCGCGAATTCGAGAATTGAGAATTCGGGAATTTTGGATTGTGGAATCACACGGGAGATTCACAAAACGGCCTCGCGGTTCGACGACATGCGCTGCGGAGCAAACCAGGTTCGATTGACGAAAATTTCGTCGCGACATCGGTGCCAGCCTGTAATTTCGCCCGACGTCACATAATAATGCTGCATACAATGACCATTCAAGTGAACATATTCAAACATCTGACCTATAATGAGCAAAACATCCAATTATGCTCGCAAAAAGAGAATGCTCGTTTATTTTCGAGATGTGAAGTTTATAACAAGCTAGAAATTTACATAAGTATAGACAACAACAGTGCTAATATAATCTGAAGTGTGATACACTTGTACATCCAACCCGCAAGTGAACGGAGTATTGTATAGCTAGCAACTGAGATTCTTCAAGGTGATGTGCCAGTGGAGGGGAGAGGCGGGGTAGTGGTGGTGTTGGCAGAGGGGGCGGGGGGAGGTGGGGTAGAGGTGGTGTTCGCAGCGGGGAAAGGGAGAGACATGGGGGTAGAGGTGGTGTTGGCAGCGGGGGAAGGGAGAGACATGGGGGCAGAGGTGGTGTTGGCAGCGGCGGAGGGGAAAGACGGTGGGGTCAAGGTGGCGTTGGCAGCGGGGGAAGGGGGAGACATGGGGGCTGAGGTGGTGTTTGCAGCGGGGGAAGGGAGAGACATGGGGGTAGAGGTGGTGGTGGCAGCGAGGGAAGGGAGAGGGAGCGGGATGGAGGAGGGAGGGGCCGCACCAGGCTGGATGGGGGGGAGGGCAGCAGAAGGGGTGGGGGGAAGAGCAGAAGAAGGGAGGGGGGGAAGAGCAGCAGAGGGAAGGGGAGGAAGCGCAGCAGTTGGGAGAGTGGGGATGGTCACAGATGGAAGTGAAGGAAGAGCAGGGAGAGGGACGGGGAGGAGCGGAAGCCCCCCCAAACCTCCCGCCAAGCCTCCCCCTAGCGCTCTGCCTAGCGCCCCCATCCCCCCTCCGACAGCAGCAGCTGCAGCCGTGACAGCTGCCGCCTCCCCTACCTTCCACCCCTTCCCCTTGCCGCCTTTGGTTGCAACTGCACCTTTCGTTGCCGCCATCACCCCACCTGTCGCCGCTCCGGCCGCCATGCCTCCCATGCCTCCCACCATTGCACCAGCTGCTGCTGCAGCACCAGTACCAGCGGAATTCGCGGGGCCACTTCCAGCGGAAGCACCAGCAGCATTTGCGGGTCCGGCGGGAGCGGAGGACGTCATCGGTGGTGGTCGAATCGGCAGCGGCTGAAACTCTGCTTCCCCTGGCCCGCCGGCTCCGCTGCTGCCGCTTGTGGCGGAAACCGTGGTGGCGGGGCCAGGAATCGTGACTGCGGCGGGGTCGCCAAGAGTGGTGACAGCGGAAGGCAAGGGCATCCCCCCTCCCCGCACCATCCCTCCCACGCCTCGCCGCATACCAACCACAGCAACAGAAACCGCAGGATAGGCAGCAGTGCTGCTGGTGCCGATGCTGCTGCTGCTGCTGCTGCTGCTGCTGCCGATGGGATTTGAGGGCACGGGTTGAGCAGTGGAAACGCGAAGGAACGCGAGGAGGAGGGGGACGAGGAGGAGGAAGGAGACGCAAATAGGGCGCGCTGTCATGGTGAAATTGAAAATTTGGGCGGCGAGGATCAACGCCTTTGAAATTCAGTGCGAGCAAGAAAGCAGAGCAAGAGACGAGATTTGAGAGCCGAGAAAGTGGTATCGAGCGAGCAAGAGAGCAGAGGAGAGAAGATGCGTCGACAGAAAAGGCTTCCGCGACTTTTTATGCGCGCTGGCTTCAGAAATTCCCTGACATACACCTACCTAGGTAGACCTCAAGCGCGTGGTGTGACTTTCGAGACGTCTCATAAGCAGACGCCTCAGAACTCTCGAAGCGGGTGACGCTCGTAGGCCTAGACAGACGCCTAGAATCTCGGAGGTGCGCGCAAATTGCAGCCCGCCCGGGCGCTATGAGATCGCCGCCGTGATATATTCGAGGAAGGCATAGCTATGAGGAAAATACGTCAATTGCTGACGCAAGCGGTGACAGAGTTACGGTGCGGAATACCTACCACCCGAAACCCTCACGAGTTACGGTGGGATAGATCGCCGTCGGGCAGGGGCCTGTTTCTTGCTCTGGCAGGCATAGCCCTCTTGCCGGCGAGGCGGCCTAGCGGGCGCTTGCAAGTTGCAGGTTGCTCTGGCAGAGCCGAGCCGCTTGCAAGAGGAACCTTGTCGAACAAGTCGAGTCGTCGACTCTCACAGTAGAATATCCGCCATATCAAACCGAATCTCGAAGCTGAATAGGCTGCCATGGTCATGGGACTGCCTTTAGCACAGCCCGAGGGGTCCGTTGGGCGAGGTTGCACGGCGTGACGATTACTAGTGGGTGCGACACTTGGATTTATCTTGCCAGGCTGTAGGTTATGGGCGAGCGAGGACGCGCGAGATAGAGGGGGAGGAATTGCTATTCACAAAGAAGGGCCAGGCGAGGCGCTTCTACAGCAACAGAAGCCTGGGGCCCAGTTGAGAAAGGCTTTCGAGTCGGGCATTTCTGTTGTCATAGTGTAGGTCACTGGGGAGAGAGGCTTAGTTCAGTAAGCAGGGGGGTATCTGGGAAACGGTTCTTGAGAAACGGGCGAGGCGCGATTTTGGGATTTGGGAATTGGGAATTGTAGAGATTGAGAAATCGAGGCGCGGGCTGTGTGACTGGCTGTAATAATTCGCCAGGAAAGAACAGTCAGGGCGTGGTGCCTTCGGTTTCGGAACTGAGTTCCGTCCGTAACTAAAAGGGTAATACTGTTCGTCTGTACTCGCGCATGAGTTCGCCAACCACTTCCCGAATATTCGTTCGTCCGAACAAGGTGTGGTACCATATGTCCGGACGGAGCGTCCGAACGTCCGTCTGAACGGAAATTTGTAATTTCCGAAACTTTTCCGTGCCCAAGCGACAAGGCGAAAATTACGAGCGGGGAACACAGTTGCATTTTCGCCCAGCGCTATGGCGACATTTCGCGCTGTGGCTTGTTAGGGATGGCTGTTGGGGTATTTTCGCTCGAACTTGTTGGTTTCGTGTATTTTCGTTCTGTTTCGTCATTTCGGTCTGATTAAAAAATGTGAATTTTGGGAGATTCGTCTCGGACGCAAGGTACCAGACTTACCTGCCCGGACAGAGGGGTGTTGGGAACTCAAAATACCAGACTTGTCTGGTTCGGAAACGTGGCACTTCGGAACTCGGTTTTGGGTTTGGTCGGGTCATCCGAACCGTAGGCACCACGCCCTCAGGTTTGGGGAGCTACGAGAAGAGTCTTGCGGCGAAACGGCTAGTGAAACGATAGAAGCGAGCGTGAATGAATCGAAGCATTGCGGCATTGTTATGTGCTCCAGCAAATGCTACTCTTATCTACTGCCATCTCGTATTTCTAAGTGTACACAGCAAATTGGACGAAAACATACCCCATAGTAGCTAGCATCTTGAGATAGTTACTCGATCTCTAGTCCACATGCTTGTGCGACGAAAAACAAACCTACGAGCCTCGCACAAGTTCGCAAATCGTATGCTCTCATTCACATGATTTTCTTCGTGGAGCTGGCCACGCAGGGTCCCCTTACATCCCCGTCAAACACATCCTCCATAATCCTTCATAAGCAGCACGGTAACGAGTTCCGTCGCATGACGTATTTTTCGTTCAAACTAGATCGACAAACACGGGCCACTTGCAATATTTTCGTCTTGGTCATCATGCATTGTGTGCGACTGGCCCTTCCGTCACCAACTTCAGTCCGCGACCGTCGTGCAGTGCCCTTCAATCTTTATGCCTGAAGCGCGCATGTCATAAACAAGGCCTTCTGGACAGTGTCCTTCTAGGCCTATCGTGTGTCTTGCCCTCCTAGGCCGATCGTGTGTCATTGTCACCGGAGTTCAACATTCTGGCAACATACTGGTTCGACAGTCATCCGGCAGTATGGCTGACGAGGAGATTAACTACGAGAGCGACGCGGAAATAGATTCTATATATTTCGGCCGGCCCAAGGGCCCGAATCCTGCGCGCACACCCTATCTCTATGTGGCAAACTGCGGTGCTGAGGCGGAGATGACGTATGCAGCCATTGCTGACGTGTTCGCCGCGTTCGGCCACGTCCGTCGCGTCGTCCCCGCGGGCGCCGCCAATCTCACCCGCTGCTTTGTCGTATTCGGCGGGCGCACGCGGGCGGCGGCGGCGGCAGCGGCGGCAGCTGCGCTTGAGGCGCTGAGCGGAAAGCCGTGCGCGGAAGCGGGCGGAAGGAAGATGCACATCCAGTTCGCCGTGGGGAAGCGCTCCGCGCCGGTAGGTCACGCGGGAAGATGGGGCTCACGAGCGGGAGGGGGGGAGGGGGGAGAGAGAGGGGGGGGAGAGGGGTCGCTAGGGAGCAGGTCGGCCAGAAGATGCACATCCAGCTCGCCGTGGGAAGCGAGCCGCGCCGGTATGTCTAGTACGCAATAGTAGGGTTACCTCGGAGATAGAGATCGGAGTGATTGCTGGATTAGAGCTAGGGTTTTCCCGGGGTCTAAGCAGGTGGCAAGGGGGGCAGCAGGGGCAGTTAGGCAGTAGGGGCAGTAAGGCAGTAGGGGAATTAAGGCAGTAGTAGAGTTATCCAGGAGGTAGAGACCAGATCAGGGTGCTGTTGCATCAGAGTTCGGGTTTTCCGGGGTTTAAACGGGCGGCAAGGGTGCTGTTGCATCAGAGTTAAGGGGGTGTGCTAGTGACCTGCAAGCTAGATCACGCCAGATTGGGGGCATTCAGGGTTTCGGTTTTTACAATGTTTTTTTTTTTTTTTTTTTTTTTTCCACGCAGGTGGAGCATCTGGTGGTGCAGCACACTAGAGATGGAGCGAGGGATTGATCTTGTTTCTTACGAGTCAGCTAAACCCTTTTTACTTTTCCTGCGCAGGTGGAGCATCCGGTGGTGCACCACACTGTAGACGCGCTCGATATACCGGGGCTGTTTCTGCACCTCGACTTTGTCACTCCGGGGATGGAACAGGTGAGAGGGAGGGGGCAGGGTTCAGGGGTTAAGGCGTACTGTCACAATCACAACTAGTATTCCGGGGGCTTTTCTGCACCTCGATTTTGTCACTCCATAAGCGGAGCAGGTGGTAGGATAGGGTTTCGGGCTTTAAGGACGGGGTTTGTTTCATTTTGTGCGTCGATGTTCAGGACCCCTGGGCAATTTGAGTCGACTCGAAAAGCATCAATGCTCTGGACCCCTTGGCAGTACATCGCTTCTCCCACCCTTTTCCACACTCCTGGCCTTTCCCCCTGTGCCCACCCTGCCTCCTCCCTCCCTCCCTCCCTCCATTATTTTCTCCCCCACTTCACCCCCTCCCTCTCCGCCTCCTCCCTCGTCCCCCCCCCACTTTCCCCCCTCTCACCTCGTCCCTCCCCCCACTTTCCCCCCTCTCCCCTCGTCCCCTCGTCCCTCCCCCCACTTTCCCCCCTCTCCTCTCGTCCAACCCCCCCCTCCCGCCCCTCCCCCCATTGCAGAGCCTTCTCACATTCGCGGATGGCAACGATTGGCATTATCTGACCAAGAGACGCGTGCAGCACCACGGTTACGCCTTCAACTACACTGTACGTGCGTGTTGAGTTACATTCCGATATGGTTACATTCTGATATGGTTACATTCTGATATGGTTACATTCCGATATGGTTCCATTCTGATATGGTCACATTCTGATATGGTCACATTCTGATATGGTAACATTCTGATATGGTAACATTCTGATATGGTTACATTCTGATATGGTTACATTCTGTGCCACGTTACATTCAGCGCCATGGTTGAATTTTTCACCATGGTTGCATTCAGCGTTCGCCTTCAATTACAGTGTATGCATTCAGCTACACTTACAATTGTTCTACTACACTTCGCTGTTGGTTTCTTAGTTAGTGCATTGGTAGGTACCAAGCTTCGTGTACTTCCGTTAAATCCCTCCTCCCCTCCTCCCCCCCCTTTCCAATCACCCCCCCCCCCCCCCCCCTTCAGACACGAGATATCGAGAAGGACAAGTGGATCGGCCCGCTGCCCGCAGCAGTGTCGGATTTTGTTTCACGGGCAGAGCAGCTGCCCGAGCTCACTGGCTGCCCAGAAGTTTGCATGCCGTTGGACCAACTGACGGTGAGTGTTCGGGTGGCTTTCTACTCTCTTTTCTTTTCTTTCTTTCTTTCTTTTATCTCTCCTCTCGTTTATCGTGTTTTTCAAAGACGGACCTCTTTCCCTCCTTCGAGGTAGGATCTGTCCCTCCTATCCTCAAAACACATCATCCCACCGGTGGTGGCACTCGAGGGCACCATGCTCTTTCTCTCTCACTGTGCGCCTCTCCCCGTCTGCCTCTGCCTCCCTCCTGTTGATCAACGAGTACGAGGCAGGAGTGGGCCTAGCCCCACATATTGATACCCACGCAGCGTTTGAGGGCGCCATTCTCTCCCTATCCCTGGCCGGCCCTGCAATTATGGAGTTCACGTCACCCCTCCCCCCTCTCGTTCCGCAGATCAACGAGTACGAGGCAGGAGTGGGATCAGCTCCACACATCGACACCCGCATGGCATTCGAGGGCGCCAATCTCTCCCTGTCCCTGGCCCTGCTACCATGGAGTTCAAGAGACTATCCATCCATCCTCTCGCACTCTCTCCATTCCTCCCCCCTCTCGTTTCACAGATCAACGAGTATGAGGCAGGAGTGGGCCTGGCTCCTCACATCGACACCCACGCAGCGTTTGAAGGTGCCATTCTCTCCCTGTCTCTAGCCGGCCCTGCAATTATGGAGTTCAGGAGGCCGCTGGGGCCGCAACCAGTGGGGAAACAGCCGGTGGGGAAGAAAAAAGTTGTTGCCGGGAGCAGTGGGAGCATTGGGAGCGGTGACAGTGCCTGTTGCACCAGTGACAGCAGCAGCAGCAGCAGCAATGGTGGTGCCAGTGATTCCAGCTGCAGTAGCAGCAGTGGTGCACTGAAGCCAGAAGCAACAGCAGGAGCAGAGGCAAAACCAGCAGCCGAAGAAAGAAGAGCCAATGACAGGAGGGCAGAGGACAGGAGAGTGTTGTTTCTACCCCCTCGCTCCCTGCTGGTCCTCACAGGAGAGGCGCGGTACGCCTGGTCCCACTACATCCCCAACCACAAGATAGATCACGTGAATGGCCAAGCCTTCCCACGCGCACCTCGCCGCGTCTCCTACACTTTCCGGAGGGTCAGGTTCGGCCCGTGTGCGTGCGGTTACCCTGAGTTCTGCGACGCGCCGAGACAGGAGAGTTTGTCGGAAAGCTCTTGCGAATGCGGGCTCTTGAAGGTGGAGACTGAGAAAGGGGAGTGGTTGCCTGAGACAGGGTTGATTCCTGAGGCCGAAGAGGCGATAGGAATGGAAAGGTTGCCGGAAAAAGAGACCGGAATGGTGGGGACGAGGGAGAGATTGGAGGGTGGATGTTGCGGGGGGCGTGCGGTGATGCACTCACATGAGGGGGTGCTGGACGAACCGAGAGGGGAGGGTGATGGTGGGGAGGGGAGAGAGGAGGGGAAGGCGGAGGAGGGGAGTGCGGTGATGCGGTCACATGAGGGGGTGTTGGATGAACCGAGAGGGGAGAGCTGTGGAGGGGTGCAAGGGGAGGAGGGAAAGGGTGGGGAAAGCGGTGTGTTGCACTCCGCCGGTGTGCAGGGGGAGGAGAGAGGGGAGGAGAAGGTGACTTTTGAGTCGACTCAAAAGTCACCTCATGAGGGTGTGCAAAGGGGGGAGAGAGGGGTGGTGGGCGAGGGGAAGGCAGAGGAGGGGAGGGGCAACTACGGCAGCAGCAGCAGCAGCAGCATCACCAGCAGCAGCAGCAGCAGCAGCAGCATCACCAGCAGCAGCAGCAGCAGCAGCAATGAACTGAGCACCCCAGCAGTGGAGAAAGACTTTGTGCATAAAGTATACAACGCCATAGCGCCTCATTTCAGCGCCACTCGCTTCGCCCGGTGGCCCAAGGTCACTCAATTCCTTCTCTCCCTCCCCTCCGGCTCCCTCGTTCTCGACGCCGGCTGCGGCAACGGCAAATACCTCAACGGAGGCCTTCCCATCCCCTCTGCCCTCCCTTCTTCTGCCTCTGCCTCTTCTTCTGCTCTCCCCTCTGCTACTGCCTCTACCTCTGCTGCTGCCCCTACCCCTGCCTCTTCATCCTCCTCAGCGCTCCCTATTTCTTCCCCACCCCCGTCCTCCTCCTCCTCCTCCTCCTCCTCCTCCTCTCCCTCCCCCCCCACCCCTCCCCGTCCTCCGGCCGTTCTTATAGGGTGTGACATCAGCCCCCCCCTGGTATCCATCTGCGCCCAGAGAGGCTTCGAGGCCTTTGTGGCCGATACCCTCTCGCTCCCCCTCGCCTCCTCCCGATTCGACGCCGCCATTTCAGTGGCAGTTTTGCACCATTTGTCCTCTGAGTCCCGGAGGAAACACGCGCTAAAAGAGATGCTTAGGGTGATTAAAACGGGCGGGAGGGCGCTGGTGACTGTGTGGGCGCGGGAGCAGGAGAATCCGGGGCTGCTTGACAAGTGGACGCCTCTGATTGGTCAGATGACAGAGAGATGGGTGGGCGACGTGGAGGGGGGTGGAGGAGGGGAGGAGAGAGAGGGAGAGAGGGGAGGGAGAGAGAGAGGCGGAATGCTCGGAGGGATTGAGGAGGGAAGAGAGACTACTGAAGGGGAAAATGGTTTTTCAAGGAGGAGTTTAGAAGGAGAGGAGATTAAGGAAGCAACAGGGACGGAGAGGATGAGTGAGTGGAACCAAGAGGGAGGCAGGGAGGCAGAGACAGAGACAAAGACAGAGACAGAGACAAAGACAGAGACAGAGACAAAGACAGAGACAGAGACAAAGACAGAGACAGAGACAAAGACAGAGACAGAGACAGGGATAGAGGCAGGGCAAGGGGGAGGAGTGACAGGGCAAGGGGGAGGAGTGACAGGAAAAGAGGGCCCAGGAGGAGAGACAGAGCGAGGTAAATCTCCAACAGAGGAAGCTTCCCAGGAGTTTCTGGTCCCATGGCACCTGCCATGTCATCGAGTGGAGATAGGGTCGGCAGCAGCAGCACAACACGTGGCTTCGGGTTTCGCCCGGCGGGATGAAGCCAAGGGGTCGGTGGTGTACAATCGCTATTATTATGTTTTTACTCGAGGAGAGTTGGAGAGGTGAGTCTCATCTCATTGCGTGCTCGCCAATGCATGTTTTCTATCTTCCCCCCTGCTCCTAGGTAACCTTCAACTTGGTTTCTAAGGGTCTTCACATTGCATACATCGTTATGCCAGTGTGCCACATGTTTCCCCGGCTATTCTATTCTTGGTTTGTTTGTTCACGAATGTTCCTTGGTCCCTCTTGCAGGCTGATTACGGAGGTTGGTGGGGCCGCAATTGTAGAGAGCTTCTATGACAAGTCCAACTGGTGTGTGATAATGGAGAAGTTGTGAAACGGACGACATATGAAGTAGGCACTTCATGTGAAAAGGCAGTCCCATTTGTTGAGTGACCCGCTGGGGTTGCCCTTGAGATCCTCGGGGAAGGGCCACAGGTGCAGAGGCTGGGGGGCTATGGGCGCACTTACCCGCTATTCAACAAGCCCTTTTAACCCAGTGGTTAGTGACTGGGTTTCTGACACCATTATCGTTGTATTGGTCACGAACATTAAGAGGGTGTTCTTAGGACCCCTTATGAGACAAACGTCTTCTCTTCTCAGACTCGGGTTGCACCGTCTTTAACTGCACGGTTCTGCGTGTGTCTGATGAAAGGCGTGTTTGGTAAGAGGTGTGGGAACACGCCCCAAATGTAGGAGTGCTATGTTACAGGAAGGACCAGGAAATGGCTGGTTGAGTGTGCATGCGTTCTTTTTCCCAATCCACTTTGTTCAGTGAGGTGATTGTGAAAGCTTGCTTGGGTCATCTTGGCAAAGGCAGCGTGCTTCATTTCATATGGGATTGCATACATGGTTCTCGTCCAATATACTACACCTACAAATAGGGTGGGTGGGTGGGGAAAACGAAACAGGAACTAGAAATGAAGAACGTGGGTGAGGTCGAATGGCCTCACGTCCCTCTTTTGTAGGCAAAAGAGGGTGAGTAGCGCTTCGACGCTGTCCTTGCTGCGTTGGCCCTCGCTACACTTTCACAATACACATTTTTATAAAGCGTTACACGCTTTCAAAAAATTACATATTGTGAAAGCTTGCTTGGGTCATCTTGGCAAAGGCAGCGTGCTTCATTTCATATGGGTCTTCTGAGGCATGTGTAGCAGGGGCTGGCGATGTCGCTCGATAGACAACTGGTGGTGACTGGGCAATGGAGCGGCGGAAGCGTCTTGGATGCGCGTGGACGCCGCAAGGAGCTGGTCGTGCGCAATGGTGACGTAGAGATCTTTGGCCGTATCGCTGCGCCAGCGACCGAGTCGTTTGAAGAGCCGGTCGGGGATCCCCAAGTTAGCTGCCGCAGTTGCGGCGCCCTTGCGGAAAGAGTGGGTGCCGAGGTGTCTGTTGTCGAGCCCAGCCTTGGCGAAGGCTTCGAGGCACTAGTTTCGGATGGTTGTGTAAGGCGGAGCGCTGTCTTGAGGGGTTGCCCTGCCGCTGGTGCCAATGACACGGATCAATGGTCCATGCGGGGTGGTGGGGTGTCCCGCAAGTTGCAGAAACCGTTGGGTGCAACGGACTGGGCAGTAAGGTCCAGTTGTGGGAGCGACTGGGATCCATGAGCCCTTGCCGTCCTGATCCGTCTTGGAGTGCGGGATTAGGATCCACATAGACTCCTCGTCAAACTGGATGTCGTTCCACTGGATGGAGACGAGGTCGGAGTAGCGGAGGAATGCCGCGAACATGAGAAGTGGGATCAGTCCTTTCTGATATTCTACCGGGCTGCTTGACTCAAGGAAGGAGTGTGCCATGGCGTGCACCTGGTGGAGCGACAAGGGTTCTTTCGTCCTGGTGGTGCGCGGGCCGTGGCGTTTGGAGAATTCACGAACTTGTGAAGTGAAGGGCCCGCTGGTGGGAGAGGGTTCTCTGGTCATTCGGTGTGCAAATGCGACGGCGGAGCATGTAAGGGATATGGCGGATATTGTGGCCTGATTGTTGAGGGCATAGACAAGGTAGAGCGCTAGAGTGGTGTCTGTGGCAGGCAGGTAGCTCAGCTTGACCTTTGTGCTAAAGGAGCGGAACTTGAGCCAATACGGGTCGTAGGTCCTTATGGTGGATGGCGCGCGGACATGGGTGATTACCCGAAGTAGCTGTGTCTGTAGGTTTGATAATAAGCCTGAAATACAGAGAGCGCCAGACACAGCAAAGGCGGATGAGTGTGTGCCTGGGGATAGGCATTGGGTGCCTTGAGTGAGGGGAATATGTGCCTTTACTTCTGGCACCAGGTCTGTGGTGCTGGCTGTAGTAGGGGCCACCAAGAGGCTCCTGGCCATTCAGGGATGACCAGCGTCAACTCGGCGTGGGTGCGTTGGGCGTGGCGCAGAGTAGCCGGGATGAAATGGGGAGGGGGAAACGCGAAGCCGCGTTCATCATGCCAGCTGAACGAGAAGGCGTCAACCACTGTGGCCTTGGGGTGAGGAATCTTGGAGCAGAAGCGCCTCAGTTGAGCGTTGCTAACGTTTGCGAATAGGTCGACAGAGTGCGGCCCCAGGCGGCGGTTGAGGAGTCGGAACCATGGGGATTTGAGTGAGTAATCATCTCGGTCCTGGAGTTTGGAGAGTTCGTCGGCGTGCGCGTTCAGCTCCCGGGGAATCCATTCGATGGCCAGGCGTATCCGATTCTTTAAGCAAAGGTCGATGATCGCCTGGAAAAATAGTGTGAGTGCAGGGATGCTGGAGCCGCCTTTGCGCAGTATGAATACAACCTCCTGGTTGTCCACACGAACTAGCACGTGCCGTTTGGAGATGTGGGTGACAAAGATTATGAGTGTCCACATTACACCTTTGAGTTCCCTTCGGGTGCTGGAAGTGTGTAGGAGGTCTTCTGGCATGCGGGAGCTTGCTTCTATTGGGATCCCAGGGAGTGGCGTGAGGATGGCGCCCCAACTGTGGGCGCTTGCGTCCACGTGGATGACGGTGTCGAACTGATGACTGAGATGAAATGGGGCGCCGTTAAATTTGTCAAATTGCACCAGCAAAAAACGTAGCTCGTTCACCGCTGCCGGGTGCAGGAGGACCTTGGAGTGCCATGACGTTGCGTCGGCAATAAGTCGCAGGAGTTCGTGGCTGAATGCTCGTGCAGTCGCGCCCAATGCTAGGGCCATAGAGGCGAGCATGCTTGTAACTCTTGCGAGGGAGCGAACGGGAATAGGCTTTCCTGAGTGTCCTTGGGCTATCAAGGCCTCGAGTGTGGTTAAGAGTTGTGCCCTTCGCTCGAGTCCGACGGAGAACGTGCCGCGGGTGGAATCGATTTCCAAGCCGAGGAACCGAAGCTGACGCGAGGGGTGAAGGTGCGATTTTCTGCCGTTAATGAGAAAACCAGCTGCTTTAAGGTCATGGAGGACTGTCGTACGAGTCGAGCACGCTTGCTGGTGGGAATTGCAGAGAAATAATAGGTCGTCGACGTACGGGACCACTCGAATGCCGCTTGCCCGCCATCGCTTGGCAAGTTGTTTGATTAGTTGGGTGAAGACGAATGGAGCCGTTGCAAGGCTGAACGGCAATGACCGAAAGGAGTAGTAGATGCCTTCGAACTGGAAGCCGAAAAACTTCCAACAAGAGGGGTGAATCTCGACGTGATGGTATCCGGATTTCAGGTCGATGGAGAACATCCAGTCATCTCGGCGGATGAGCTCGGCTACACGATTCAGACCTTCGTACTTGAACTTAGGGGCTTCAAGGTGAGTGTTCACATTCCACAGGTCGAGGATAAGGCGGCATTTGTCGCGCTGCTCCACGACGTTCAGCGGGCTGACACATGTTAGTGTGTCCCTCTTCTCGATCGCTGCGGCAGCGCCAGTGACTACGAGATCACGAATTGTGTCGCGAGTAAAATCGAGGTGCGTGTAGACTCCGGCATGGTTGTTGTCCTCAAAGGGTGTGGGGGCTGCATTTTTCCAGGGCAGCCAATACCCTTTCGCGATGACGGAGAGGATAAAGCTACTGTCGCACCAGGAGCACCACCAGTGCAAGGCATGCCGCAGTTGACTGCGCATGATGGTAACGTCCTTGTCTGTAATTGCGAGCTCGTAGGGATCGCGTTCCTCTTGTGGCCACCCACTCGGGATCTCTGCCATATAAGAGGTTATAAACATGGGTTGGGAGATGGGGGTGGGATACTGTGCTCGTGAACGGGTGCACGATGCGGGGCAGTGTAAACGGGGCATGACATGCTCGGATCGCACCGCCACTGCCGTGTCAGGAGCTTGCAAGGTGCAAGGGGTCATCGTCTCTATCTCCCTTCTCTTTCTCTATCGCTCACTCTCTCTCTATCTCTTTCTCTCTCTCTCTCAATTTCTCTCTCTCTCTCCCTTTCTCTCTCCCTCTCTCACTCTCTCTCTCTCTCTCTCTCTCTCTCTCTCTCTCTCTCTCTCTCTTTCTCGCTCTCTTTCTCTCTCTCTCTCTCTCTCTCTCTCTCTCTTCCCCTCTCTCTCTCTCTCTTTATCTCCCTCTCTCTCTTTCTCTCTCTCTCTCTCTCTCTCTCTCTCTCTCTCTCTCTCTCTCTCTCTCTCTCTCTCTCTCTCTCTCTCTCTCTCTCTCTCTCTCTCTCTCTCTCTCTCTCTCTCTCTCTCTCTCTCTCACTCTCACTCTCTTTCCTTTGCGTGCGAATGCATTACATGCTATGTCCGTACGTGACGTTTATTAAGCGTGTGCGTGCTTATTGGTGGTTGACTTCTTCTTCCTTTTCCTTTCTTCTGCTCTCCTTGTTTAGGCCACTCCTTATGCAAGCTTTAGCGCCCGGACTCTGTCCTTGGCTCTGATTGGTCTCCGAGTGCGTGCGTGCACGTCATTTGTTGGGCGTCGGGCATGCCTCCATGCTTAGTTCTTGAGCCGTGTTGCATGGCCGGCAAATAAAAAGTGAGGGGTCATGGGCCACGCTCAAGGCTGTTCAGCCATGTTGACTGGGTTTTGTCGCCCCCTCCCTACCCCCTACCCCATCAGGGTTTTTTTTTTTTTTTTTTTTTTTTTTGTGTGTGTGTAAAAAACGAATGGCCATAAACCATCGAGCCTTTCATTCAATCATAGGAATTATTACAAACCTAGGCCTATCAGCCTTTGCTGCCTCCAAGGGCTACCCTAGTCAGCGAAGACCCTTGCCTTTGGCAAAGGGCTGGCCACCGGCCATGCACCCGCCGTGCAACCCACTATGCCTCTTGCATGTGGGAAAAAGGGCGCCGCCCTATCAACCGCTCACACCAATGGTGAGGGACCTTGCGCACCACGCCCGCCCATGTGGCATGCATTGGCCATGTGGCTTGGCTAGCCGCAGCGAAAGCAGACTCCCTTGAAGCGCGGCTGCTGGCACGTATCAGGGGGGGAGCCCTTGATGTCCGAGTCCGTATCGCGACCACCGGAACGGCCGCCGCGCGTGTAGCCGAGGCGTGCATGCTTGAGTGCTGCCACATCTGCGACCGCCAGCTTGTAGGAGCGGGATGTGAGGACACTTTTGGACTGATAAAGCTGGAACCGGTCGGCGGCCTCGAAACCGGCTTCGTCCGCAATGAGAAGGACTTGGAAACGCTTATTAATAAGTGTTTCGATATCCTTTACGTTGTTGAGTGTGCCGACGACGTCGCCGTGCTGCAGCTTGAAGTCGATATGCTTCAGGTACGCTTCGATGGCAGTGAAGACCTCGGCCTGGTCGCGTACGTCCTTGCGCATGAAGGTAGTAGCTGCGGGCGTGGGGCCAAGGGGGGGGAGAGGAGGGGCGGGTGCAAGGATGCGACGACGAGCAATGTTGGCGGGGCCCTCACCGTCGTCATTTTCGGAGTCGTCGCTGTCATCGGGGTTGTCAGCGGGTGCGGGAGTTGGTGCCTGGGGCTGGTCGTCGGCGCGGGGAGCCTTGGGCGCGCGAGGATGGGTAGCCTTTTTTTTTTTTTTTGTTGTTAAAATTGATCGTAGGCACAGCAATATCGGATGAGGTTCCGACTGCAACAGCAGGAGCTTGCTGCTGTAACAGTGCCAAAAGCGCTTGCAGCTGGTGCGCAGTCAAAGGGGCGGCGGCGGCGGTTGGCGCGTGGTCAGCGGCAGGTGCGTGCTGGGTGGTGGGGCCCGCCTGGCCTGCAGGCGACGCGCCTCGGGCTGGCGCGTGGTCTTCCGTTGACTGCACGCGCGGCTGCTTTGCAGCCGCGTGAGTTTCTTCTGGAGCAGCGTAAGTGCCGCCGAGCAGGATCTGGACTGCCGAGGGGCCCTCGCCGAAATTGTCCTCAGCAGGACGTTTCTGACGACGGTCGGTTCCCCCGGACGAAGTTCCGATCGCCTGGGCGTTAGCGGGGGTAGAAATGTTGTTCGCCGCGCGAGCTGGAGGAGAATTGGCGGAAGTCATCGTGACGATATTGTGCTGCAGAATGTCGGTGAGGAGCATTGTCGGGGCTTTGAAGCGCGGAAGAGACTGGGTTTTCGCCAGCTTGGGCGAGAACAAGGAGACTAGAACTAGGTTGAGAACTGGAAAACGAAACTGGAACTAGAAATGAAGAACGTGGGTGAGATCGAATGGCCTCCCGTCCCTCTTTTGTAGGCAAAAGAGGGTGAGTAGCGCTTCGACGCTGTCCTTGCTGCGTTGGCCCTCACTACACTTTCACAATACACATTTTTATAAAGCGTTACACGCTTTCAAAAAAATACATTTGTGAGGTAAAGCACTTCAAAAGCAAAGTTCATATTGGATTAGGTGGATGCAGTTACTGTATTGTCATTCTTTATACCGAAATGGGCGGTTCGTGAAGCAGCTTATTTGTGGCTGTCTTAGCTGATGGCTAGAGTTACCCGAAACTGGTGGTCACTCGGCATTTTCGTTGTGACCAATGAGCAGTCTGCCCTTTAATATCTGACCAATCCGTAACGCTGTACACGAACCCTGCGCTGGCGCCGCTTGGGCACAACAAAAGCAGCTCCAGCCAATCAGCCAGACTCGAGATCTTTCGGGTTCTCTCCTACTGATCGTTATTGGCCTTGGTTGGTGGGTGAAACAGAACGTCAAGACCCTTGATTCTTGTCGACAAGAGATAACGAAATATGCACGCGACTTGCATGTGCGATTGGTTCCAGGTTTTTGGTCGCAGGTGTTTGTCGCCCAGTTCTGGCCCCCCGGCAAGCGAGTCAGTCGGGGCGGTGTGAAAAAAACCCCTGCGAATCGCCCACGTCGTTTTCGTTTCCACATTTCTCCATGCGTCGCTGGCGGCGAACCTCGTGTGCGACAGGTACAAGAAGCCACCTCAGCAAAACAGCGCTGCACGGCGAGCCACAGAGCAGTGCGCCGCGGCTTGTAGACAGTCGCATTTGAAAGCGGGACACGGAAAAAGTGCTATGCGATGACACGATCACTAAAAGCAGAAATCCCCCTCCCCTGGCCTCCCCCACCCTCCCCCTCACGACCGCATCTCCCCGCGATCAGCTGAATTCGTGCTGGAAGATGGGGGGTGAAGTGAATGGTGTGGCATGTGCGCAGCGCACTGCTGGAAAGAGAGGGAACGGATTCGGGGGAACCCCACCCCACCCCGCAAACCCCCCCCTCATTTCCATCCGTTCCATACTGGCGCTGAAGCGCAACCTCCAGCGCCGCAAGCGCCGCTATGCGCTGGGGCAGGGAGCTGCGCCGGCGGAGACTTGGTTGGTGCAGCTCCCGGTTACCTGGGGCTCTCACAGGCCGTTCCCCCCTGTTTCGCCAGAGCCAATCAGCCACAACTGGTCGAGCTTGGCTCTGCTGGCTGGGCAGTGAGCTCCCCTTGCTAGTCCTGCTAGCAGCTGCGTGTGCGTTTGCCTGATCGGCTGTGTGAGGCAGGGTGCTCCGCCCACCTTACGGTTTCGTCGTCGAAGTTCCTTGGGATTTCAAGCCATCTTGTTTGCTGGCTCCTGTTTGACTCACTCTGGTTCTGGCCAGGAATTGTTGAAGGGTAGAACGCGTCCCTGTGCTAAGGCATCTTGTCTAATGAGTTTGTGGTTCCACCTAGATAGCTGACCTGGTAAGTCTAACTTATTCTGATTATCTTATCTAACTTAGCACGTGCCTCCAGCATGGATCAACTAGCACTCGTCCTAGATTCGGCCTCTAGCCAGCGTAAGTTACTACCCAGGGATCCATCCCCTACCAGGGTTTTAGTCAACCGCGAGCTCTCTGACAGGCTAACTCGAATCCACCTGTCACCATCATGGCCGTTGGTATGGAAGGCGCAGATGTCGGATTCCTTATCCACGTGGCAATCATGGGAGTTGCCAGCTCGGCGAGATAGCCTCCTATCATTGCGGGCTGGCATAGACGACCCAAGGCTAACAGCTTCTGACGGTGGCTGGGCTCCATTCCTGCTCACTCTTTCCGCGGTCCAACCAGGGTCGAGATCCTTCTGCGAAGCTGCCACGAAACAGCTACAAAGCTTCCTATTGTGGGATGACTGGTTGAAACGACACGGCTCGGAAGATTTGACAGCAAATTTCCGTTGAAGGTCGAAGCGTTCGTGGGATCGTTGACTGTTTTGCAATCCAGCCAGGGATCTGACAGTTTAGACCGAACTGGCGGGGACTCGTCTTCCTGGTTGAGGCGATACTTGAATTGCTGGTCAGCATACAGCACGGTAAGCATTTGCCCACTTACCACCCTTCACCTACTTATTACCACTCCCAAGGAAATGTTCGTCCATTCCCCCTGGGTACATTCTTTGTCGGTTTAACAAGTCCTAATGGCGTTTCGGCATTGCTGGTTCTTGTTTCCAGGCCGGGTTGAAGTCTCACTCCGCTCTACGGCAATCCCTAGAGGCGGGACAAATACCCACCCTCCACGAGTACCTCCTTTATCGTGCGACAACAAGCGTCGCCTGGCCGGCGATTCTCCTCGCAGCGACTCAGCGCCAGCTGCCCTCTCTCTCCGACTCCGCCTTCCAAGCCCTCCTCCCGCTCATCTTCACCGCAGCCGCTCTCACCGCGCTCTCCGCCGACTCGCTCCTCGTGACACGTGGCAAGCTCGCCACGTCAGCGTCCTTATCCGCTGCGCAGCTGTTTGACGGGGAGACGAATCTTCTTCTCCAGAACTCCCTCGCCGTCGCGTTTGCTGCAGTTGCCAGGCGGATCGAGCTGGAGGCGGAGGAATTAGTAGCAGAAGGTGACGAGAGTGACGAACGCGCGGCGTTGCTGGGATTTGTGCGCGTGGTTAAGAGCGCGGTTCACGGTGTCATGGCGTGGTACGGCTGCGCCTGGCGATTCCGAGCCGAGTCGGATACGAAGAAGGCGACTGTTGAAGCTAACGCTGGCTCGGATGATGATGAAGTGGATAAGATGGTGGTGGAGGGATGCGCTGTGGAGTTAATTAACGACGTTCCTCAATGGCTCATGGACGAGATCGAGGCTGCTGCTGGTGCTTTTGCTGGGCTGCACTGAGAGGGGAGGATGGAGAGGCCTACTTTCTTGGATGCTGACCTGGGGGGAAGCCTGGACCCTGGAGGTGTTTGGCTGTAAGTTGAAACGGGAGAAGGAGCGTCAGTACTGAGATGCTGTTGTGTGGTGCTGACGGTGATCTTATAACGCGGATGCTCCTGGTGTTTCTGGCGTTTCTGACAATTCTGATGCTTCTGGTGCTTATGATGGCGAAGGTCTTCGGATGGTTACCAGCTGCAACAGTACCCAATAGCCAGTGATTTGCTCTATGCATTGGCACGGGAGTCCGTCTCTCGTCCTGCCACCTCTTGTATCTACACCCCCTCTTCTCACATGCATATTTAGGTCCTCGTATCATGAGTGCGTGTGCTTTGGCAATCTGCTTAACAATAGAGTAGAGAGAACGGCGTTAGCAGGTTCTGGTTCTGCATTGCTTGCCCCCTGAAGCATGGTTTCTGGCCCGTTGGTGATTGTGCCTGGATGCAAATGGCATTGCAGGCACTTTCCTGTCAGTCCTGTACCCTGTACAGAGCTACAGAATTGCGAGCCTCTACCCCTGCAATGGGGGCTGGAGGTTAATTGGTTGTGTTGGCTACAGCCTCAGCAGCCTGGTCGCATTTTACTCTTTTGCGTAACTGCAGCTGAGCCAGTTTCTGTTGCCGATTTATCAACTTGGTTGTGGGATTGAAGTGAAAACACTCGTTCTTGATATTCCTTAGGAATAAATTCTTAGTCATAGCGCTTCTGTTGACAATTGATGTGTGGTGGACTGAACGCTGGTTTCTCATTTTGTTGCTTCGGAAACGCCCTCATGAAGGCAATCAGCACAACAACACAGGAGTCCAGAAAAGAGGAACCCAGCTTCCCATAACAGCTCTGCTTTCCCCGCTTCTATTACAGAGTCCGTGTCTGCCCTGCAGCCGTCGTCCCACGCCGATGGCGACACGCGCACGAGATTCAGCGAGAGCCGCTTTTTATTACGTTTCTGGAGTCTAGAATCGAAGTCGTCCCTTGATTCGTAGGAGCAGATGATGCAAGGCTTCTGAGTACGCTTCATTGTACCTGTCTAGAAAGCCACCTGAACCGTCCTAAGCCACCTGAACCGTCCCAAGCCACCTGAGCCGTCCTAAGCCACCTGATGCTTGACATGATTACGCATTATACTCAGTCTTGAAAATAGCCGTCGCTGACGTGCATGCTCTAGGCTTTCAAGATGAAACCCTGGCTGCGGGAAAGCGTTTTCAGTTGGAAGGTTTCCTTCATGGCTCTCATCAACGTGCTCTACCCTCCGAATTTCCTCCTCATGGCCGTTCCGTGGGCCTTGCACCTCCTCCTGTCGCATGTCCGCGTCGTGCTTCAGCGGAATAGCACTCTTGAAGCTCAAATTCCGCTGCCAGGAAATAGATTAAAGGCGTCGCGAGCAGCGGCAGCATCAGCAGTTGGAGAAGACGAAAATGAAGGTGAAAGAAGAGACGACGGACGAGGAGAGGGAACGGGACGAGGAGCAGGAGCTGTAAGCAGAGCTCTGAGAGCAACATGCGTCGTCACAGGGGTATGTGACGCGAGAGTCTGGTTGGTTGGGATTATTGTGTGGTGGGTTTCTGGTCGTTTAGCACATTCCTGCTATGATTTCTTTGGGCGTGAAAATGCATGCAATGTGGGGATTCTTGGCAGTTTGTTATTCCAAATACTGCTCCTTTTTTTTTGAATGGTTGGTGTCACAGGCCACGTCTGGACTGGGAAAGGAGGCAGCAGCAGCATTGGCATCGCTGGGCACATTCCATGTGGTGATGGGTGAGACGATGGAGTTGTAACAGACACTTTCATATGCCATCTTGTGTCATGTATTCTCAAATTTGCATGGATGCATTGAGTTCAGTGTGCCAGCCATGCTCTCGACCCAGCCTTTTCTCCTTGTCTCCAGGGTTCAAGTCCGCATGCCATAGAAGCCTAGTGCTTCATCTGTAGTCTGAGCTTTAAGTCCTTACCCCTTCATCACCACCACCCATTTGTCTATTTTCGACGCACATGCCGCAGAAGCCTAGTGACAGATCTAGTCTGAGCTTCAAGTCCTTTCCTCTTCACCACAACCCATTTTTCTCCCATTTTCTCCCATTTTCTCCCATTTTTTCCCATTTTCTCCCTTCCTTCTCCCATCCTTCACACCCACCGTGCTGCAGGCTGCCGTTCTCTGAAACGTGGCTACCAGGTGAGATTTGTCTTTTAATAGGTGGTTACCAGATGTGAAGATGTCACATTGAGAGTACGAAGGTGGGAATGAGGCGATGAAAGGTCGTTGTGGCCCTGCTTAAAGGCTGCTCCTTTCGTGTGTTTTTTGTCCTTCATTAGGAGCACATTAAGTCCTTCACGTCTCCATTGCGAGCTCGTTCACAAAAAGCGTGTTAATCATAACATTTTGTTCGTTTGTCTGCATGTTTCGTTGCTATGTTTTACGGGGCAATCACTCAGTAAAAATCATTGAGTTCTGTGACTCGACCTCCCGCCCTTCCAATTTAGCCTCCTTCGCTCGTGCCGTGTCTATCACATGCCATGCCTTCTGTACAATGCCACCCATGTCATGCCATCCTGCCATGCCATGCCATCCTGTCATGCCATGTCATCCTGCCATGCCGCCCTCCCATAAAGGCAGCTGCTGACATCACCAGTCGGCATCCCCATGCGTCCATAGAGATCGTTCCTCTGGACCTCTCCCGGCCGGCATCTGTCGTCCGCTTCTGCGAGTACATGCGTTCAAGACTAGGACTAGAGGGGGAGGCTGGGGCAGCGAGAGGGATAGGAGAAGTGGAGGACGGAAAGGAAGGGAGCAGGGTGAGGCAGCAGGAGGGGAGTGAAGAAGCGCTTACGACATGTGAGCTGCAGGGTGAGAAGACTTTTGAGTCGACTCAAACGTCAGAAGTGCAGGACGGAATGGAAGGGAGCAGGGTGAGGCAGCAGGAGGAGAGTGTAGAAGCGCTGGCGACATGTGAGCTGCAGGGTGGGAACGAGGGTAGCAAGGAAGGGCAAGGGGAGAAGAAATGGCGAGGCGAAGAGGCAGGGGAGGAGGCAGGAGAGGAAGAGGAGGAGGAGGCGGTTTTTTGGGAGCAGACGCAACGAGCAACTCTCTTGCAAAACGCTTCCCCCTTGCCTCCTCTCTGCCTTCTTGTCAACAATGCCGGTATCCTTGCTGCCACCGCCACCGCCACGCACCGCTCTGCATCTGGCACTCTACCTGTTGACCGGTGCGTTCTCAGGGCTCCGCTCCCCCTTGCCTCTGCTCTACCTGCTTATGAACAACGCCGGTGTCTTTGGTGCCAGCCAGCCACCGCCACGCCACACCACACTCCCCATCTCAAGGTGTATTTTGAGTCGACTAAAAAACCGCGTGTAATGAGTCTGCTTTTGAGTCGACTCAAAATACACCTGGACAAGTGGTTCATCTATTGATTGATGGCTCCTCTCCTGTTCCTTCTCTCGCTCTCCCCCCCCCGTTTCCCCTCTCCCCGCCCCATCATCGCAGCATGCTAGCCACCAACTACCTCGGTCCTGTGCTGCTCACTCTCCGCCTGCTGCCGTTTATGGGTAGACAGAACTCCAGACAAGCACACGGAATGCATTCCACACACACACATGGAGAACCCTGCATCCAAGCACTTAGGGATGAGCCCTCCATACAAGCACATAGGGAGGAGACCTCCATACAAGCACATGGGCTGGAGCGCCCAAGCAGACAGCAGGAATTACAGGAGCAGGCATCAAGAGGAGGAGAGGGCTCGAGGGAAGCAGGAAGGAGCGGGGCAGACAGCAGACAGCAGGAATCACAAGGAAAGGTGTCAAGAGGAGGAGAGGGCTCGACAGAATCAGAAAGCAGAATGAGCTGTCGCGTCGTCAATGTCACGTCTTTCACCCATCGGTCAGGTGAATCAGAAGCGTCTCAACGATCAGGTGGGATTTCAGGTGGAATTTTAGGTGAATTGGAAGCATCTCTTGGATCAGGTGAAAACTCAGGTGAATCAGAGCCATCTCGTGAGCTCAGGTGGGCTCTATGAGCCTGATATTCTCGCCATCAGTCAGACAGTGTTACTAAGGTGACTTATGAGTTGACTCAAAACTTGCTCAACCTCCCATCCTCCCCCCCACTTCCCCCCCTCCATCTCCTCTTCCAATACCAGTGCGCCAGCTGTACATATCTGATGTGGCATCTCTAGCAGCAGGCGCTGCTGCTCCTGGCAACACACGTTCGCCTTTTTTCTATCCTGCAGCGAGGATATACCAGGCTTCTAAATGTATGTATGTATGTGTGTGTGTGTGTGTGTGTGTGTGTGTGTGTGTGTGTGTGTGTGTGTGTGTGTGTGTGTGTGTGTGTGTGTGTGTTGGGGGGGAGGGGCTGGGGTGTGAGCGCGTGCGTGTGTGTGTACTGTGTTCATTTTATGCCTCTATTTGTGCATGCACTCACATCACATACGTCGTACACAGATGCCCCCTCCCCCCCTCACTCCCCATTGCATCCCCTGCAGTGTGCCTGCTGCGCTACTCCCTGCACCTAGGTGTCTTATGAGTCGACTCAAAAGTCGCTGCATTACTTTCTGCACCTTCACCCTCTCCTCCTATCTTCTCCCACCATCCCCCTCCTCAAACCCCCACACCCCCCCACCATGTCCCCCCCCCCCACCATTTCTCCCCTCCACCATTCCGCTCCCCCACTCCCCCCCCATCCCCATTGCATCCCCTGCAGTGTGCCTGCTGCTCTTCTCTCTGCACCTTCACCGCCTCCTCCAATCAGACCCCTCCACGTGTCACATCTCCGTTGTGTAAGCCCCACACTATGGACCGCCCCTCTGCCAATTTCACTTGGGGTTTGCTTCTCTGGTGAATCAAGTGCTATCTCTAATTAAAAAATAAGAGCATGCTCGTTTTCTGAGTCCTCTTATGCTCACCTTTTCTCATGGGTCGACTCACCACTGAGGGAGTGATTTGATGGCCTCGAAACCGGTTTAATCGCCGCTGTCTTTTTTCTATCCTTGTGTGGTGAGTCATTTTTTTTTGGGCTCCTCCCCTCGTGCTACCCTCCAGCCCATTGTCCCCAGCATGGTCCGCACAAGCATACTGAGGGAGCTGCCTGCCGCCCTCTCAGCCACATTCAACACTCTTCTCTCTCCTCCTGACCTGCTACTGTGTCTTCCGTTCTGCGATCCCCTCGGCTTGCCTTATTGTGCCCTACAGCCCCATCGACCCTGGCATGGTCCGCACCAGCATATTGAGGGAGCTGCCTGCCTTCCTCTCGGCCACAGTCAATGCCGTCTTCTCCCTCCTCCGCCTCCTCTCCCTCCCTCACTCACTCTCCCCTCTCTTCCTCCGGGCTTCCACTGCCCCCCAGGTTAGCTCTCGCTCCCCTCTTTCTCGCTCCTCCCTCTCTCTCCCCCATCGCTCGCTCCCCCCTCTCTTGCCCCCCCCTCTCTCGTTTCCCCCTCTCTCGCCCCCCCTTTTTTCTCTGTCCCTATTCGATTTCCCCTCCCTTGGCCTTACCCCTCCTCTTCTGTTACCCTCCTTGGCACGCTACCCCCGTTTGACCCCATGACTGCCCCCTCCCCACCATTTCCACTTGCCTTAACCCCCTCTCTCCAGCGCACTCCGGCACTCCATTCAAGGCCATTCCTCCTCGTCTCCTCGCCTCCCCTTCCCCCCGTATCCCTTTCAGGAGCAGGCCAGTGCCTGTTTCGTCCCCGTGCTTCCCCCCTCCCTCTCTCCTCCTCCCTTCAATGCCCCTCAATGCCATCCGTCAACCTTCCAGTTCCCTTCCCCCCACACCCCTTATCAGGAGCCAATAGCAGGTCAGTACCTGGTTGGCCCCCATGCATACCCCCCCCCTCTCTCTCTCCACTCGCCTTGCCTCAGTAACATCCCTCCACCCTTCACGAGCAGGTAGCTGGCAAGTACCTGTTTGGCCCCCATGCATCCCCCCACTTGCCTTCAATGCATCTATACTAACCCTCCACCTTCCACTTCGTTCCCCCCCACCTCCCCTTTTCAGGAAGGTAGCTGGCAAGTACCTGTTTGGTCCCCGCGCATAACCCCTCCCTCTCTCCCCTCCCCACCTCCCTTCAATGCTCCTCAATACCATTCCTCCACCTTCCAATTCTCTTCCCCACACCTCCCTCTCAGGAGCAGGTAGCAGGCCAGTACCTGTTTGGACCCCATGCACACCCCCTCGCACCATCTCCACTTGCGGTAGATCCATCTCTCTCCGACACTCTCTGGCAAACCACGCAAGACCTTCTCAGCCAATGGGCGTCTTGAGTTTCCTTTTGCATTGATGTAACGCTTCTGTCGTTGAAGTACACTTTTTTTTCAGTAAAGCCTTGGCCATTCTGACTAATTGCTGGCGCAAATTCCTAGACAAACACCAGCTTGGGGACTAGTTAAGAGTGAACAAGTTTGCTGCAAATGCAACCATGCCCTAACTCACAGAAATCAAAGACCGTGCCAGCATAAAAGCATTATGCTGTTGATTCTCTTTTTTCTTGCTGAACTGGTGTCTGCGTGCTCTCCTTGGCACTTCCCTGACCCCTCTCCTCTCCCCCCTCCTCCCCAGTCTCCCTCTCCTCTCGGTCCCTGCCACTGTCAACTCCAGGAATGGTCTGCCACAGACAAATAACACGAACGGGAGGGATGCGGGAAAGATATACACATTACGGTATGACTTCTTCTGAGTCTTGACGCAAAAGGCACCTCGTTCCCTACCCTTCTCACCTCCAGGAATAAGACCCACAGGGGGGAGGTGGGGAGGGGAGGAGGGGATCACGGGATGACTTCTTCTGAGTCTTGACACGAAGATCACCTCGTTCCCTGCTGCTGTCAGCTACGACAGGGGTGGCAGGGGTGACAGCGAAGACACGGGAGTAGAATCGCGGAGACCACGGGGTTCAAATATTATCTGCTGGATAAACCACGGAGATCTGACGGCCGTCGTCTTCATAACAACTTCCTGGCGGCCGTCCTCGTCGTTACTAAGTCCTGACGGCCGTCGCGGTTCATACACCAGGCCCTGACACCTGCCGTCCTCATTATGTGTCCCTGACGGACGTCGCGGCCATTATTAAAACCATGACGGCCGTCGCGGCCATGATTAAAACTCTGACGGCCGTCGCGGTGCATACACCAGGCCCTGACACCCGTCGTCCTCATCATCCGACCCTGACGGTCGTCGCGGCCATTACCAGGTCTGGTTTGTAAATGCTGTGAACGACGGATGCTCCCGCTAGCAGCGACGCGATCGCAACCGCATAAGATCGGATCATCCCGGGTGACAAGCACTCCCGAGGCGGCTCGGGTTCAGGAAAGAAGGCGCTACCGACAGTATTTAGAGTCGCAAGAACAGTAGCACGTGTAAGTAGAAGGCAGTCCATAAATCGACACGATAAACTGGTATACATGTATCGCTTCCTCGATTTCGCCGCAACCGCCGCAACCGCCGCAACAGGCGCTACCAATGGTCGACTGGCGTTCGGTGAGCCTGCGGGAGCAGCCAAGGACCATGCTTTCAGTGTGGTTGAATCACAAGATACTCTACGCTCCGCAACAGGCTAATGATTTGTACACTTAAGGAGTTTTGTGAGTCCACTATGAATATTATGTGGAGTCTATAATGGAGCCTTCCAACACATCTCAACAGTTAACATTGTTATTGGTGATTTATTGCCTAAAATTGTGTAGGACCTGTAATAATTTGACAGGTGTTGCAGGAGACTAAGTATAGAATCTGCAAACACGAACACTTGGAAAACCTCAAGTGTTGGCCTAGGATCTTTACTGGAATGGTAGACTTGTAAGACAGCGGAAGTCTTATAGGAGTGAACCTGAGCACATGAACTTGTGGGTAGTCGAAGGTTGAATAACCTAAGCACATAATTCTGTGGAAAGTCAAGGTTAATAATAGAAAGGCATTACAAGGATTTATAGCTCTAGGAAAGTACCTGTACGGCTAGTTGCGCGCTATGCGATCTATTCGTCATTCTATAGGGTCGCGACTGTTCGCGTAATTGAAGCGACTCGTTACGCCTATTCGCGTAACTGAAGTGGTACGCTGACGTCATCCCGAGACCCGTGATGCTTTGCTGACATCAGCACTCGGGCATGATTGCTTACTGAGAAACTCCATACTGCTAACTACACCAAAAACGGAACTTGCAGGAATGCAAAACTTCAATTATCACAACACTCCCCTTCATTCCTGGAAGTTCGATGTAGTCACGTCGTGATTGGAGTCCGGCGAATGAAATATGCAATTTGAAATCTTGTGACGTGTAAACTTGGTCGGCGGTCATTCCATTGGTCAAATGGTCGACCAATCGCTTTCTTCTTTTGGTGATGACGAATTTTGGCTTTGACGAAGTGCGCGTAGATCCTCCTTTCCCCCCTCACTTCGGCAGAGTAAAAATGAGTCGGGTTGAAAGTGGTTGGGGTTGCGCCAATGAACGTGGCAAGGTCGAAGGGGATGAATGCAAAACCACGATAGTGTTGCACGTGGTGGAGAGGAGGTTCGGCATCTTCCGGAGGCTTGACAAAGGACCATGAAGTGACGGGCAGATCTGATGGTGAAGTTTCGGGCAGGGAAATATGTTGAGTCGGCAGTGCACGCAGCTGCTCACGTAGCTCGTGTAGGGTACTGCTCAACCGTTGTGCTTCGTTGCTTTGTTGAACGTGATGATGAGGGTTTTGGTAGCAGTTGATGCCCAGGCCTTGCTCGTAGTCGTTTGAGGTCGTAGTGTGGTAAGCGGCTTCTCTGTAGTATAGGAAAGTATGCAGCGGGGTACTGAGCTCGCTTGCTGCTATGGCCAGCCAAGCAAGGAGTAAGAGTATGGAATATGAAGGTAGTAAAAACCTTGAGAGTGCATAACCTTTCTCTTGAAGATTGGTAGTTGAAGAATTGTCAGAAGTCTTTCTCGATAATAGTTGTAGCGTCGAAGAATTTTCCAGGAGCAAGTTGCAGTGTTTCCTCGTTTTCTTGACTAATATCTTCGTTGATATTAACGGCAGGTGTGTCGGCAATGATGTCGGTGGTGCTGCTACTCGGATTTTCTTCTTCGATGCTGCTGAAGTCCATCGGTGGAGTGGTTACCAAAGCTACTACTGCGATGATTGAAGGAGCTTGAGGGAGAGTGACATCTTCGGAAGATTTTGCTGCTTTGAAGCGTAAGACAAATACGCCATTCTTGGTTTCTGCTCTTCCGATGTATATGTTGTCATATCGTAACTCTTGCTCTTGTGTCGTGCAGTTTCCGACCGTGCGGATTTTCTTCTTCAACAGTTGAAGAGTTGACACAAAATTGAAGCCAAGATTGTCGTCGAGTAAAACATTGGTAAGGCGTAAGGAATTTCCCGTATCGATTGATGTCAAAGTAGACTGCCGATATTGTCTGCTGCAATTGTTTGACCATTGGCGAGTGTGATTCGGCAGGGTTGAAGAAGTCGACGACGGTTGTAGATGAAAGGGTTTGTTGAAGAGACCATGTGATGGCCACAACAACTATCCAAGTACCAAGTATCGGTATCTGAACTGCAATGAACCATGTGAGTGGATGCAGTCGGTAAGCAAAAATTTGACGTTACCGTTTTGTTGGTAGAGTTTGAATTAGTGGCTGTCGGCTTTGATGAGAGGCAGAACTGAGTGTCGTTGGTGGTGTTGATATTGCAGATGTTGCTTTTGGAGGCGCATGTTGCTAAAAAGACTGCTTCGAAGGCTGACGTAGCGGCTGTGATGATTTCGACTGCTGCGGTTCTTCAGGAGGTAAATACCTCTTCATAAAGTAGCACCGGTCAGTAGAATGTCCTCCCTTGTTGCAATTGTGACAAAAATATTGAGGACGTCGTGTTGGTGTTGAATAGAAACTGTGTTGTATATCTCCCTGTTTGTTGCGTTGTGACTGCAGGTCAAGGTCCTGCTGTTCCGCTTGAAGATACGACGAAATTTCAGCTTCGGAGAGGTTCGGGTTCATGCGCAGGAAGGCACGCATTTGTCGCCATTCAGGGCCAAGGCCAGCAAGAAGGACCGTGAGATACATCTTACGAGGGAAGTATCCTCCACTCTTTTCCAGTTGATCTCGTAGTGTACGGACGCGATTGACGTAGTCCATGACATTTTCGTTATGCCGACTGCTTACAGCACATCCCGAGACCCGTGATGCTTTGCTGACATCAGCACTCAGGCATGATTGCTTACTGAGAAACTCGATACTGCTAACTACACCAAAAACGGAACTTGCAGGAATGCGAAACTTCAATTATCACAACAGCAGCATCTACTGGATCAAGTTATGGAACTACTGGAGTACATGTCTCCACGACCGCCACTGGTCTCTCAGCCTCTAGACCGTTTCCACCGGCTTATGCGCATATCGGTATGCAGCAGCAGCAGAATCCGCCTTCTGTCTATACTCCAGGTGTTTCATCGACTGCACCTGCAGCGCAACAACAACAAACACAGTCAACAGCACAACAACAGGCAACAGCACAACCACCGTTTTCAACGCAGTCAATATCATCGGCGTTCAGTGGAATGAGCCTTGACGGCTTGAGTTATATGCGTGGAGCTTCAGCTCCAAGTATTGGTTCATTTGCTTTCTCACCTTTTGCGCAGCAGCCGCAGTCGCAGCAGCAGCAGCCCTTTTACATCTTCGGGCGATCACCTGCTCAGCAACAACAACAGCAACAGCAGCAACAACAACAGCAACAACAAGAACAACATCAGCAACAACAGCAACAGCCTCAACAACCGGGTATTATCTTTCAATCGCCAAATTTACTTAACATCACACAAATCAAGACCACTATACCTTTTAACGGAATTGATTTTTACTCCTGGAGTTTCGAGTTTGAGCTTCTGGCGCAGTCCGCTGGTCTATGGCCGTTATTCACCGGCGAATTTACATATCCAGTCGTGGGAACACAAATGGAGCAGCAGAGTTTCTTGCACGCCTCTCTCGGGGCGTATACGGTTCTTGTTCGGAACTTGTCGCCGAAGGAGCAGCTCGCCGTCCGATCATTTCATTCAAGCTTTACACCAGCTGAAACTGCATGGAACCACTTGAAGGGGGTACACATGGCAAAGGATACAATAACAGTGAGTAAAATACTTTCGTAGTTGACAAATGTGCAGATGATGACAAACGAAAATGTCATGGACTACGTCAATCGTGTCCGTACACTACGAGATCAACTGGAAAAGAGTGGAGGATACTTCCCTCGTGAGATGTATCTCACAGTCCTTCTTGCTGGCCTTGGACCCGAATGGCGACAAACGCGCGCCTTCCTGCGCATGAACCCGAACCTCTCCGAAGCTGAAATTTTGTCGTATCTTCAAGCGGAACAGCAGGATCTTGACCTGCAGTCACAACGCAACAAACAGGGAGATATACAACTCAGTTTCTATTCAACACCAGCACGACGTCCTCAATATTTTTGTCACAATTGCAACAAGGGAGGACATTCTACTGACCGGTGCTACTTTAAGAAGAGGTATTTACCTCCTGAAGAACCGCAGCAGTCGAAATCATCACAGCCGCTACGTCAGCCTTCGAAGCAGTCTTTTCAGCAACATGCGCCTCCAAAAGCAACATCTGCAATATCAACACCACCAACGACACTCAGTTCTGCCCCTCCAAGCAACTCATCAAAGCCTACTGTCAACTATCTAAAATTAAGACTACTGTCAACTATGAATGGATCACCAACAGCAGCATCTACTGGATCAAGTTCTGGAACTACTGGAGTACATGTCTCCAAGCATGGTAAAACAAGAAACTTGACCACTCCTTTGCTTTCTCCTCCAATATATACCTACAGAAAAGCACTCACAGCAAACATGGACCTCTCTTGCTCAGATTTCACAGCAGAAACAAGATTGTGCATGATGTATTACTGTACTTGTGGAACAAAGAAAGTGTATCTTGACCCCTAGTGTAAGGAAATCCCTTTTCCTTATCGAGCCTCGCTAACATCGAGTACAACCCCGACTTTCGGAAGTCCAGGCTCGGCCCGACATTTCAGGTTCGAACTTCGTTGGAGACCACCAAGCCTACATGCGGCGTCGCATCCGACACTTCCGAGTCCCGAGGCGCCCCAAACCACCTTGCGTGTGTTTCATGGGCATCACATCCGACACTCCTCGAGGCTCCCTTGCTAGGTTAGCTGTGCTTGTATTTAGCCTTGTGCTTCATTTGTACTCGACAAACTTTAATCACGACCTCACTATTGCATTACTCGACTCCTATCTGGAGATTATCATAGCAGCTAGTATCAGAGCTACGTTCCTGCCCATTTAGGTTTCCGTAGTGAGGTAGTTTTTAGAGGGACCTCGCACGTTAGGAGACAGGAGCTGTCCAACGGTCGTGCAGGAACTTCTTCAGTTCCACCGACTTTGTTGTGTGCGCTGCACGACTCTAACGCTGCAGGTGCCCGTAGTGTCTTTAGTGGCATTAGCTAGCTATAATAATTCACGGTCAATAGCCCTCCTTGCCGTAGTACTAGAAATATGAATCCCGAGCAAATAGCTCAGTTGTCAGAGGCGGCAGCAAGCGCGTCAGTGTTGACGACGAAGGTCGGCGAAATGATGGTGAAATGGGAGGCCATGGCCTTGGAGCTCACCGCGTTGAAAGAGGAGAACGTGAGCCTTCGCCAGGCGCGTGGTGCGATGCATCAGGAGTCACCTATTACTATAGACGAAGATCGTGCGAGCGCGCATCACCCGCAGGCGACATCAACGATACGTAACGACAGTACGAGCAAGCGGCGAGCAGTCGTGAAAATAAAACCTGCAATGCACCCGCCGTTCAACCCATTGGAGAAGCATACCACGCTGCGTAGGTGGTTGTTCGCCATGAAACAGTTATTCAATACCGTCGATGTCAACGACGATGAGACACGCGTCAAGTTGGCGGTGACTTTATTACGCGGGCCTGTATTAAGTTGGTGGCGACAGTATGTGACGTCACGAGGGACTCTGGCAGACCGGCAACAGGCGATGGATGGGGAGCAACGATTGGCTTTGACTTCTACAAGATCCTTTTTTGGTGTGGCCAAGATCCTTACCTAGCAACATTGGGGTGCACTGCTTCAGAGTCTGCATGCGAAAACGCTCGTGTGAGGTTGCACGGGTGGCGTCAAATGGGCTATGTGCTAGAGTAAACGTCATCCTTCCTCGCCCGAAATCGACGATCTACACATCGTATGGCTGAAGCCGGGGGTCCAACGCGAAATTTGCATGCGCCGCGCGGCGACATTCTTGGAGGTGCAGCAGGTCGCAGAGGTGTGGGAGGGGAATAGTGTATGGTCGAGGTCGAATTTTCGAGAGAGAAATCGTTTTCGAGGGCAAAACATTTACCCATCCATCAACTGTATGGCAGCACCGTCAGATAACACATTTCGTGGCAGGTGTTATAAATGTGGCCAGTTGGGGCACATCATGTGGGACTGTCCGGAGTCGCAAAAATCGGGAGCTAACAACGGAAGGACGCTGGGAAATGGACAGCATCAGGACTGGGAAATGAAATTGAAAATATCAGTGGATGGTGGAGCATCACACAGTCTATTCGATGTAACAAGAGCGAAAAAGCTGTAGCTGGAAATAGAGCGGTGCATGCCCGAAATTGATGCGCGGTTGGTTGACGGCACGCCACATGCAATTCGGGAGCGGGTGAAACACGTTCGTATTGATTGCGACAGCCAAGTCAATTTCGTCATAAAGATGCTGGCCACAACATTGGACGTCTGCGATATGCTCCTGGGGCACGATTGGCTTTGCACGTACAGTCCGAGTATCGATTGGAGGAATGACGACATTCGCTTGAAGTGGGGTGGCGAGTGGCGACGACTGCCGAAGTGGAAACCACCCGACCCTCAGTCAATATTGGTGAACAACGTGAGTGTCTTGCGCGTGATGGCACATGGCGTGGACGTTTACGCCGTCCTCTAGATCGCATAAACGGAGGTGGCTGAACAGATCGACCAGGAAAAGCTACAGTATATGGTGCTGTACTTGAGGACTTGATGAAGATCATGCGGCCAGGTCTACCCCTGGAACGACCGCAAGATCACAAGATTGAGCTGGAACCTGAAGCGCAACCGACCGTCCAATCGCAATGGATACTGCGTCAACCGTGGCTGATGGAGCTGCGTACCCAACTGGATTATCTGTTGGAGAAAAAAAAATCATCCGCCCATCCATGTCACCCCACGCCGTGTCGATTCTCTTCACCCTAAAAAGGACGGAGGGCTTCGGATGTGTACCGACTATCGCGCGCTCAACAACATCACCATCAAATCGCGTTACACAATTCCAGAAGCCGGCGATCTCATCGACCAACTTCGCAGGGCCAGGATTTTTTCCAAGATTGATCTAAGCGGAGGTTACCACCAGATTCGTGTCGCCGAAGCTAATATTCAGAAGACTGCATCTCGCACCCGTTACAGAACTTACGAGTATACAGTGATGCCGTTTGGGTTGATGAGCGCACCCTCAACTTTTCAACTGACCATGAACGAAGTCTTCCGCTCGCTATTGGACAAGTGCGTTATCGTCTACCTGGATGACATCATGGTGTACAATTCAACTCGCGAACAACATTTGAAGGACCTGGAAGAAGTTTTTACTCTCTACGATCAACACCGACTCATCACCAAAAGGCTCTAAGTGCGAGTTCTTAAAGGAGGAGTTGCAATTCCGTAGAACCGCTAGAACAGCCCACAAAGCCCTGGACACACGTGTCCATGGACCCTGTGACAGGAATACCGGTCGGCGCATCCCAAAATGATGCTCTATTTGTGATCGTCGATCGACTCATGAAAATGGCTCATTTCACACCATGCTGAACGACACTCACAGCCGAGCAAACTGCCAAGCTGTTCATCTCAACCGTCATGCGCCTGCACGGAATCCCAAAGGCGATCGTGAGCGATCATGACCCCAGATTTACGTCCAACTTATGGAAAAAAAAACTTGGGAACCGTACGGTACACGACTCCATCTGTCTACGGCTTACCACCCACAGACCGACGGTCAGACTGAACGGACAAATCAGACCATGGAGCAGCTGATACGGACAACCTGTACCGACCCGACCCAATGGGAAGATTCTCACCCTTGGATCGAGTTGGAGTATAACAAGGGAAAGTATATTGACGCTAAGTATTAGGGGCCTCGACAACATATATGGTCAGCGGCACAATATAAAGCATCAGAATTAGCAAGTTCGGAACATGATTCATCAGTCGGGCTCCACCGTTAGTTAGAAATTGCAGGAAAAAAGTTCCACGAATGGTCAGTAGAAATAACCCCCATCCTTCTTGGAATGTTTTCCCACTCGCGCCAGCCCAATTTTGTCATCATTGTGGCTGGCGCGATATTTTTTCCGAGCTCCAGGCGCAGTTCGAGCAAGAAAAGCGCAAAATACCCAAAATAAAATTCATTGGACATCTGCTAGTCGAGAAACACGAAAACACTATTTTATTTCGAAACACAGACTTCCGTCGCAGAGAGTAGCGGGTCCCGCGATGCTGAAGAATGGCGGCCCGCTGTGGCCCAATTAGCTTATGTGTCAGAAATGCGCAAGGTCTCAATTTTGGATTTTTGTGTGCAACGTCCAATGATGCCTAACTTGGGAATAGTTTACGTAGTTCTCTCGAACTGCGCCTTGAGCTCGGGAAAAATATAGTGCCAGCCACAATGATGACGAAATTGGGCTGGCGCGAGCGGGAAAACATTCCAAGAAGGATGGGGGTTATTTCTACTGACCATTCGTGGAACTTTTTTCATGCAGTTTCTAATTAACGGTGGAACCCGACAGATTAAACATATTGCAAACTCAGTAATTCTGAATGTTTATATCATATCACTAACCGTACATATTAACGAGGCCCCTAATACTGAGCGCCGATATACTTTCCCGTATAACAACACCCCTTTGTCTACGACTGCCCAATCACCGTTCTACCCGAATTACAATATAAACCCCACGACTCCCACTACACCTCTAGTTGAGAGTGTCGCCTGACGGTCGCAGCAGTTCGTCAATGACATACAGACTGCACAGAAAAATGGTACCGATGCTATCTCAAAAGCCAACCTTACTGCTAAACGATACGTGGACAAGCATAGACGGGATTTACCCCTATCATTTGGGCAACTAGTCATTTTGGACACCAAGAATTTTGGGTTGAGTTTACCACATAAACTCCGCTCGAGATTTTGTGGGCCCTTCCAAAATGTTCGAATAGTGACACCTGTCACTGCCAAGTTACTATTACCGGACGACTCGCGCATCCACGATTCATTCCACGTCAGCCTCCTTCAACAGTTCAT